GAATATCAAAGACGCCCTTGTCTCTTCAGTGGAAAGTGAGGGAAGAGGGCCGGCAATGCGAGCTGCTGGGTTCGCAGCGCTGGACTGTGCTGACCGTCACTCCGTGGTTTGAAGAGTGGCCTCCTGCGGATGGCAGGGCTCCACCTTGGGCCTGTAATGTTCAGCACTGAGTTTGATTTGCAAATGCAGGCTTCAACTTTCAGAAGTATGCACGAAATGGCTACAATATATGTATTTCTTTTTAAAAGCTACTCGAAAAGATCCCAGGAATGTTAAAATCAAAATAAAAACTTTTAGAAATGAATGTGAAGTTCTCCCTTTATGAGGTGTTATCAAAACAGTGAATGTCTACATTTTTGTAAAAATGTGCTTCAGTAAAAGCCACACTGTCATTAATCCTCCTCCTCACCTCAAACACACTCACCCCACTGTTCTCGCCACTTTCTGAAGCAGTTCTGGAAGCCCTCTTTAATGGCCTTACTTGCATTGCTGTAGCTGCCTCAACATCCTCAGTTCAAAACATTTCCTTTTCATGGTCATTTTGATTTGGGGGAAGAGCCACTATTCACATGGTGCCAGATCCCTAGAATAAGGTGGGTGAGGATGCTGTGATGTTCTTGTCTGGGGATTTTTGCTGTTGTTTTGAGACTGGGTCTAGCTATATAGTCCAGCCTGGCCTTGAACTCACCGTGTAGCCCAGCCTGGCCTCAAATTTGTGGTAATCGTCCTACCTCACCCTCCAAGTGCTGAGATCCCAGGCACGTGCCACCATCCCTGCACACACCGTAATGGTTTACAACCCTGCTTTTCCAGGGGCAATGACATTTACTCCATTTTGTTTTATCACATCTCACAAAGACACTCACAAAAGAAAACTTCCAATACTGCTTCAGAAAGTGGCAAGAGCGATGGGAGAGGGGTGTTTAAGGCGAGGGGGAGGATTCTGGGAGGGACCAATGGCCATGTGTCTTACTGTAATAATATTTAAATTTAAGCACTTACCATACAACTGATCACACCTATTTTTGTGTCAATAAGAAAACATAATAATAAAAGTACTACACTGATGAGAGCGCTGTCAGCCAGCCAGAAGCACAGTGAGTTAATATTCCCTTTAAAGACACTGAAGATGCACTTTCATGCGAATGGCTAACGGCTCGGATGAGGGCAGAGTCCCACTGTTTCCAACCTGCACTCCCACCCTGGGCAGGACCTTCGTGTCTAGGGCCAAGTGAGGCAGCTCTGCCGGCCATGACCACCAAGCGGCAGGGCCAGAGCTGTGGAAACTAGAGGTGGCCGTGGAGCCAAGGGCTGGCCCCCCCACACCTCACCTCTGTACCTCTGCGTCACAGAGAGCTCGCAGGCCTTCTCCCTGTAGGAAAGGGGAGAAGACCTGTTCTGAAGCCAGAACCTCAAATTGTAGCTGTCAAATCTGACTTCCCAGTGCCTGGGACCCTGCTATAGTGAAGATTACTACACCACACTGAGGGACACTGAGCCTGTGGCTCTTTGCAGTGCTGGGGACTGAAGCAGCCCACCGAGCTACATCCCCATCCTATCCTACTCTTCTGAGATGCACAGACTGTGCTAGAGCTTGTGAGCCTCCTGCCTCAGCCTCCTAGGGTGCTCGGATTACAGGCGAGCACCGTCACACCCAGCTGCAATAGAGCCGTTTTCTTCTTACCATTATTTCCCACCCACTGGTACTGAAGTGCTCCATCCCTAAGGACGAAACACCACTCAGGGTGTGACACCTTAAAGCATATTAAAGTGACCCGACTGGGAGAAACACTTCTATTGACACTGCCCTTTAAAATTATAATTTACCTCTCACAGAGCTTTAGTAGAGAAAGGAACCATAAAGGAGCGGGAACACCTCTGATCTCTCAACTCTCAAAAGAAAAGCTAGAGTTTTCTCATGTCTAGGGATATTCTTTAGTGGAACTTCCAACAGCTTAGGGAAGCAAGTTCATACGCAGGTCTGGATTCTGCAAATCCCACTCCGATGTGATTCTCTCCCCTCTCCCCTAAAACACGGTGCTTTCCACTGCTGCCTGACACAGATCCACAGTTTAACTGCATAATCCGTGCATGTGGATGGTGAGCCAACTGATGCCCGCTCTGTACCTCCTGCACACCAGTATGGTTCACGGGAGCTCTGTTCCCCAGGGGTTCTATTCTAGGAGATAATCAACCAACATATAAACCAGTAACGATGCCCAGTAAGATTAATCATGGATCCCAGCACTCTGGGAAGCTGAGGCAGAAGGCTCACAAGCAAGCCCAGACTGGGCAACTTAGGGAGACCTTATCTCAAAATAAAAAAAGGGCTGAGGATGTAGCTCAGTGTGAAGGCCCTAAGTTCAATACCCAGTACCTGCCTCCCTCCAAAAATCCCAAGATCAATCACTGTACTGTACTGTGGATGCATGTGCATGTGTAGTGGAGGCTCTTTTAGTTTGGCTGAGGAAGTGAGGCCACTATAAACTCAGGCCCTCTTCCTGAGAATGGCCTTTTGTGACCTGTTCAGAAGTAGACATCCTACAGGAGACTGAGAGGCCATGCAAGGACTTTAGAGAACTTTCTCAGTAGGAGGGAAGACAAGGGCCAAAACCCCGGAGGCCAAAATGTGTTTCATGTGTTCCTGACATAAAAGGCGGAAAAGACAGAACACAGTGAAGAAAGAAAGAAAGGGCGTGAAGGTGAAAGGCTGGGGCACCAGACTCCAGCAAGCCTCACAAAGCCTGCTAAGACATTCGGGTCTGATTCTGTCCTGGGAAGGTTTTGAGCCATGGGGTCACGGAAGCTCTGGAAGATTTCTCCGAGTGCTCAGTACAAATAAAGCCACAGAGCTGAACGGGCAGTGGGGGAAAGAGAGGACCTGGGACGCAGCACTGGGCACCCGGACACCAGAGGCTTGATGGGTGCTGCGGTCCCAGGAGAGGCCCTGGAAAGCTTTGTGCTGATGCAGTCAGGGCAGTGAGGACAAAGACGGTGACCTTAAAGAAAGGGAAACAGGTGTTTTCACAGGCACACTGGACTACTAATACTAAGGGCAGTTGTAGGCATATATTTTTATATATTATGAAATGTGAAATATTTCTGTGAGGCCAGTTTCCCCAAAACCTTTGCTCATAATGCTCAAAAAAATGCACTTGAGTAAATAAGCAAAAAGTGCCAAGGGACTCTTAACTACTTCAAGGAAACTGCTGTTATCCAGGATGTGACAAGTCACAGTTCTCTTCCATCATCGGGTTTGCTTCGACACACTGTGTTCCTGTCACGTCCAGAGAGCCGATCACTTACTGCCAGAACAATGGGAGTGTAAATACATCCTCCCGTGTGGCAGGCAGGTCCTTTGACTTGCCACATCAAAAACTGAAAATAGCTTTAAAAAAATTATATCTATGGGAGGCTGATTCCATGAATTTAATGCGATTCCAATTTCCTTCGACTTAGACAACTGTCTTCACTGAACAGCAACTGGAAAACTGTGGCTATTAAACTTAAAGGTGCACAAGAAACACCACAGATGCTTGTAAGCACAGCCTAGAAAGTGGCCCAGGGTGGCCCTGGGTCCCCAGCACAGGCTGAGAAACTGGACCTTTTCAAAAGCTTCCCTGGTAGCTCACTTCATGAACTCAGTTTGCAAACTTTACTTTGACAAACAAGGAAATGGACATCAAGAACAGAACGGTGTACACAATAACAAACCACTGGAAAAAAGCATTTTGCCTACCTTGACCCAGCCACAGCCCCAGACCCATTTTACAATGTGTCAAGCGCCCCCTACGTGCCTAGTTAATAGAACGTGAACATTTCCAAACTCCCACTGTTCAATTCATCTACTGCATGTGTGTGCTTATGTACATATGCTTATGTAAGAGTGTAAATGCTTGTGTAAGGCTGACTGAAAAATTAGTACCTTCACACCAGCCTTCTAAAACCAGCTGTCTCCCTTAAACACACACTCACAACCTTAGAAAGTTCCTGTTAACAGTTCAGTCTCAGGTAACCACTGACCTGCATTTCTGCAACTCGTTTAAAAGAATATGGAGAAGCCAACATCAAAAGACCTATTTAGCCAACTGCACTTGCAATGTATGTGTTTTTAAATGAACATAAATAAATCCTCATTTATCATTTTCTGCTGAGTTAACACCCATATACAGCTGGAAATTGCATTTCCAACAGGGTTCCCATTCACCATTGCATAAGAACAACTTCCTGATTGTTTGGAAAACCCTTTAACCTTTTCTCTAACACTTATTCCAGGGCTAGGGAGAGTTTTAAGAAAAAAGGAAATAAGACAAGTGATCGTTTTTTAATGAAAGGAAAGATTATCCACAGCAGAGGAAACAGAGGTTGAGGGGGAAGGACAGTCATGATTCAAAATTGTTTGAAATGAGAAATGAAATCAAGAATTAAAAACAGAATTACATTTTCTACTTGGCAATACACAAACAACACTAAGTGCACTTCATAAATTTTACTATTGTTGCTCTAAGTGATATTACCCTAAATCATATTAGTAGCGTACTTGGCATTTTTTAAAAGCAGAAAGGATAGAGCGCGTCAATAAGTTTAAACAGCTCTGTTATCTCTGAAGGGTGGAAGAGAAATTATCACAAGCTTTCGGCAGGCTTAAAAGCCCACTTCTAATGTCCCCACTGTTGCAATCCCTTCACCTCCAGCCGCGGCACAACATACAGGCCCACGCTGCCAGCAATCTACTAGAAAACATTCACTGCTGCTCTCTTTTGTTGTTGTCATTGTTTTTTTTGGTACCAGGGATCAAACTCAGGTCCTTCCACTTGCGAGGCAGGTGGTGGAACCACTGAGCTAAATCCCCGGCCCCTCACTGCTGCTTTCTTTTTTTTTTTTTTCTTTTTTTTTTGGTACCAGGGATCGAACTCAGGTCCTTGAGCTTGCAAGGCCAGCGACAGAACCACTGAGCTAAATTCCCGGCCCATCACTGCTGCTTTCTTGACACTTTTTACCTGGTGTGCAAGGGGCAGTGGCTGTCTGGCCCGTCTGTCATCACGGACAGGAAAGAGAGACTTCAGCAGCTTCGGCATCTGCGGCACCAGGGACTTCACTGGATTCAAGTAGGAGGCTGCGAGACTACTGAGTCCTGTGTCAAAATTAATAGGAAAAAAATATAAAACCAAATGGAGGCCATTTTCTTTCCTGTAAATTTGCCAGTTATCACCTGTAAGCAAAGCTAACTATAAATTTTAAGAAGGTACCCTTAAAAGTTAATATTAGAAAAAGATACTATTAACCATAGTTATCCTCAAATACAATGCCATTTCTTAAAACCAACTACCTAACCTTCCATAAGGTGCTAACACTGATGTTTCCATCAGCGTCAGAAGGGTACTCTACCCCAGTTCTTGGCAACAACTGGTTCAAGGACTAACTTCTGCTGTAGAATGAAAAGGGACTAGATTTTTGAATCACATAATCAGTGGCATCCAGTAGGCGTCATTCTTGTAGACATCAAGCTCTTAAAGTCATGCTCTTCCTCAACTATAACTTTTCGTAACTATTTACTAAAAGAAACAATAAACCTGACCTTTTGGGGAAAGGATAGTGATTAGCTATTTTTAAAAGAGAGGGACAGCTGTCTACATAACTACATGCTTGCCTAGTGTCATTACCAAAGACTGGGATAAGAAGTGCTGACAATACCTGAGGTATAGCAAGATTTCTTTCCCCTTAAAACACCATATCCATGTAACACCTTGAAAGAATACTGAAATTGCCTTGAAGAACATGTAGGTTCTCCCTGCAGGAAAGGGCCACAAACACTGCCAGCCCTCTACTCTACGCAACCCCACGGGGACTCTGGACTCCCTGGCAGCACAGCAGGTGAGACAGGTACAGTTGCAAGGTTTCTGCACTACACATAAGGGAGTGTCACTTGACTGAAAAACTCAGGATGTATATTGTCATCATGAGAGTGACCACTCAGGAGATGAAGTGAGATGGCTCCACTACCAAGACAGACGTTACAACTGAGCTCAGAAAAGTCTGTTTACAGAAAAAGCAAAAGCAGGGAAGAGAAACAAACAAAAAGAGACATGAGCAGAGAATAAACGTTAAGATGAATAAAGAGTCAGAGGATGGAATCACATCAGTGCTGAGAAAAACAGACAATCCCAAGTTCTATCTCTAGTTAATCTAACATCCAGAAGGAGTATGATCCGTAACTGAACAAGGATCTAGCCAGTGGTGGCGGACCTATGGCACGCACGCCGCAGTGGGCTGTCTGTCATTGCTGAACGCTCTAAAAGGTTCGCCATCACTCATCTAGCCACTATGCAATCAAAGGCTGCACGTATTGCGACACCAGAGAAAGGGAGGTGGGAAAGGAGCTGGGCACATGGTAAGTCAGGCTGGCCAGGACTGGGTCTTTCTGAAATCCAGGGGTACTTGGGGACACAGCATGGTACTTTTTTTTTTTTACTGTTGTTTGTTTGATATTTTCCATAATAAAGGGTTTCCAAAGTGTGGGAGCAAAATTAAAACTTTGAACATCTAAAAGAAATCAAGGATTTGCCACTAAAAGACAACTACTGAAAGCATGGATGACAGGTATGACGCACTACAGAAGAAACTAAACCCAGAAGAACACAGTGGAATGCAAGAGCTGTGACGAGCAAAGCAAATGTCAAGTATGTAAACCAAGTGAGCGTGGACTGGTTCTAACTGCAGAACCACCACCACATGTAGGGAATTTAAACTAGGTGGTACCCTGCGACTCAGTAATTTCACTTCCAAGCATTTACTCCACAAAAAGACTTATCCAAAAATAAGCTCTATTCATAGTACCCCCAACTGGGAAAACACAAATGTTCACAGGCAGTAGAACCAACTAAAAACTGTGATAAATTCAATTGTGATAGTGAAGTACTTCTCAGCAGTAGAAAATGTATTACGGATGGCAGCAGCAACGTGCAAGACAAACATCCATGCTGAGCAAGGGTCCAGCTCAAGAAGGCCACAAACACCTTGGTTCCATTTATGTGCAGCTGCAGATGGAGCCTGCAGCAACAGAAACCAGCACACTGGCTGGCGACAGGGACTAGCTGGGTCATGGGAATGTTCCACATCGTAAGTAGGAGTCACATGTGTGTGTGCATGCATATGCATGTGTATCTACCCAAAATACATATCTATGTATACAAATACATTGGACAAAGCTTATTAAATATGACCCATGGTCATGAAAAGAGAGTCAATAACAATAGATTTTTGTGTGATTTAGCAAACACTTTAAGGCAGCTTTTTAAAATTAGTCCAAGGAGGAAAACAATGCGGTCTTAACAAATGCCCGGCAGCAAATGGAAATTCTAGAACTGAAAAGAACAATAACTGAAATTTAAAAAATTCTCTGGATGTGCTCAACAGAACACTGGAAATGGCATAAGAAATGATCCAACCAGAAGACAGGAGAATGAGATAATCAGGCTAAAAACACAAAGTAAGGGGCCAGGGATTTAGCTCAGTGGTTCCGCCACTTGCCTTACAAGCAGAAGGTCCCAAGTTCGGTCCCCAGTACCAAAAAACCCCCCAAAAACCCAAAAACACAAAGTAAGAACAGAGCCTCTGGGAACTGTGTGGCAACGCCAGGCAACCTGACCTGTGTGTTATTAGTTACAGAAGGACAAGGGAGAGATAAAAACAGAGAAAACATTCTAATGAAAACTGGCTGAAAATTTCTCAAATTTGCTGAAAACATCAACTTACAGATGCAAGAACATCAGTGAAACCCAAGCAAGATGAACAGTAAGAAAACTACAGGGCCAGGGATTTAGCTCAGTGGTTCCACCACCTGCCTCGCAAGTGCCAAGGTCCAGAGTTCGATCCCCAGTACCAAAAAAAAAAAAAAAAAAGAAAGAAAACTATTCATAGTTAAATGCTAAAAACAAAGATAAGAAAAAGAAATAAAAGAAATAAAAACAAAGATAAGGAGGAATTCTGAAAGCAGACCAACTATACAAAGACACATCACATGCGGGGAGGCAGTACAAGGGCTGGGTGAGGTCGCAGCAGGCAAGGACTGGAAGGTGAGGAAGCAGCTCTGCAGAGCTAGAGGAAAAACGCAAGCAGCCCAGAATTCTCTAGGTGGCCAAAACAGCCTTTTAAAAAAGAAAAGAAAATGAACAAAAACAGGGACATAAAGACAATCCCAAGAGAGGAGAGCACTTCTCTCCAGGAGAAATGCACTGCAAGAAATTCTCAGCACATTCTTCAGGCTACAAAAAGTGAAACCAGATGAAAACAAGTTCTTCAGGGAGGACTGAATAGTGCCTGAAATAATAAATATGAGGAAAAATATATAAGATTAGCCACTTAGTTTCCTTAAAAGACAAGTAGCTGTTTTAAAGCAAAAAAAAAGAGATTGTAAAGTGTATACCATCTAGAGACTGAAATATTGAAGAAACTATTCCCTGACCATGATAAAATTAAACAAAAAATTTAAAATATCCCCAAATACACAAACATGAGTTAGCATGGTACTGCATAACCCATAGGTCAAAGAAATCAAGAAGGGAATTTAAACATATTCTAAATAGAATGATAAGGAAAGCAAAACATGACACACACTACATAAGCAGAAATTCTTAAAATTAATGAAATAAAAAATAACAAAGAAGATTAACCACATCAAAAGTTGGTTCTATGAGATTAATACATCTAATAAATCTGTCAACCCCAATAATTATCATTATCGGAATAAAAAGAAACTGTACAAAAGATACAAATCTCAAAATAATAATAAGGTAAGGCTGTGACATATATGAAAAAATGTTTTGTGGTACTGGAGACTGAATACAGGGTCTCTGCACTGAGCTACATCCCAGTCCTTTAATTCTCAGAGACCAGGGTCTCCCTAAATTGGCTAAATTGCCAAGGCGGGGCTTGAACTTGTGACCTTCCTGCCTCAGAGTTCCAGTGTTGGGATCACAGGTGTGCACCATCATGCCTGGCTGAAAAGAAGTTTAATAACCTACATGAAACAGAAAATTCATTGAAAAACATAACTTATGAAGACTGACTCATAAAGAATACAAAAATTAAAACAACCCTATATTAAAGAAACATAAGTTATAATTTAAAATCTTCCCACAACGAAAATTCCAGGTCCAAATAGTGTCACTGGGGAATTCTGTCAAACATTTAAGGAAGGCATAGCACCAAACATATATAAACCCTTCCAAAAAAATCTGAGGAGAAAGATCTCCCTAGTCATATTATGAGGCCAACACAATCATGATACCAACATCTACCAAAAACACAAATATGAGAAAATAACAAATTACAGGTAGATATTCATCATGGAACATGCACTCAAAAATCCTTAACAAAATATTAGCAAATGAAGTCAAGCAATATAAAGGATAAGACATCAGGATCAAAAGTACAGTATTTATCAGAGGAATGCAGGATGAACCCAACATTCCAAAACCAAGGTAACTCAACATGTTAAGTCAAGAAAGGGAAAAACTGAGATGGACATTAGCAGAATAGTGGCTACCTAGCAGGAAACTGTGACTTAAACTCTTCTGAAAAATGCTCAAATTTCATGATAGTGAGTGACAAATGAAAAGATAACATACCTGGATCTGGAGAGTGGTTACTTTGGGGACAATCAGGTAGGGTTGGGGGTGCTGGAGCTATTCCTCTGGAAACTGGTGCTTGGGATAAATCCTGTTGACTTTCCCACCGGCCCTATAATAGGACAAAATCAGTTCTTTTGTTTCAAATTAATCAATTAGCAGAAAAAAATTAAGGATATTCACATGAAAAAGTGTTCTGTATTACCAAAGCTTTACTCTTGTTCCAGAATGTAAGTTTGATTATGTAAGCACGTCTTCCCACTCAGCATCGTGCTTACAGTAGGTCCCCTCATGGTGACACCGCCTCACATGTAGGTGTCCCTCCACCTCACAACTGACAATCTCCCAGTGAGTCATCCTGATACTCTTTCTGCTACATCTTGTTACCTCCTCAACATACACTCTGCTTCTGAGGCTGTGTCTGCTCCCTGCCTCGAGAGACCCTTTTTCACTTCGCTTCCAAAGGAAGCCAGCACACCCTACTGCCCCCTCCCCATCCCAGAAGTATGCATTTCCTCTATCTGCTCCTGGTGCCCCAAGTGCAAACTCTCAGGCAGCACAGCCTCACATTTTGAATAAACCCGCAGTTCCCTCTGACTTGATCCTCTGACACTACCTTCTTTCTCACTGGCCTTTGATGACGGTACTTAGCATTAGTTTTCACTAGTGTTCTGCAGATGAACAGCCCCACGGACGAGCAGCTGCCTGAAACAGCCTCTGCTGCTCAAGCCGGAGCGAGGGGAGAGGCCGCACGGGTTTCTGCTGTGTATTGGGAACCTATCTGCTTTTAGCAGTAACCTAAGTACTGATCATAAAATCAATAAGCCCTAAGTGAGCTGGATCGAATTTACCTCCGAGAGTGTGGCCACTGTTCCCTAGGAACTCTCTCAGCACTTGAGAGCATTTTAAAAATGGCATGATGTTCAGTGCTCACTAGGAAGCAGGGAGACAAAGCAGACACGAACACATGATCAGGAACACATGAACTCTGAAACGCTGCACTGTAGGAGCAGTTGTGTTATGATGGATCATTCGCTGATTTACATACTTTGAGGTTTTGTTCATGTTTTCACATTTAAATTTAATTATCTGTCTAGGAGGCTGCGGCTCTGCAAACCCTGGAATGTGGCAATCAGGTGCCTGAACACTAAGGTCACCAATCTCCAGGGCTTCTCAGGCTCGGGTTGGTGTCAAGTTCGCACAAGGCTGTTCTGAAAACAACTCTGTTTTAGAGTAAGTGTATTTTCATATTTTAGATTTTCTTCATTGTTTGGCAGCTGACATTCTTGCAGGGACATTATTCTGTCCCTTAGGAAAACTACATAGCTGATTTGGAGTCAGCACCTGGCCTGTCAGATGCAGAATGGTCCAGTGACAAATAATATAGGTGTCACCTCTTCCCCAGGCAGACTCGGGCGCCCAGCTGGCATGCCTCAACATTACTATGGAGGCAGAACCAAGCAGTCAGACTGCCTGCCTCGCTCACATCTTCCCAGCGAGAATGTGTGACAGGATTAGACAATGCCTAGGTCCCGCTGGCCTGTCCACTAAGGCGAGCTAAGGCACCTGGCACTTCCGTCCACCTGTCCTCCAGCCAACCAGCCCAGAGGAATCCCAAAGCTTCCTGTGCCCAGGTCCAGTGCCCACAGACAGGGGTCTCAAGACTCAGGGAGGAATGGGCTCTGCTTCCGAGGGAACAAATCCAGTGATAAAACAGGCAGATGCACTCCCTCCTCCAGTGGCTGCCCACAGTCACTGCGCTGAAACCCTCTGCTGTTCATCAGTCTTTCTCCTTCTCTGGTCAGAGATGAACCCCGTACAGTGCAAATGCTTTCTCCCAGGGACAGGGAGGGTATGTCTTCCTATTAAATCTGAGGTGCTGGGCTATTCTGCAGTTCTCCTTTCTTTACTGACATGCTAAGATAATAAAAAAATATGAGGCAACCCAGTTAAAAGACTTCAGGAGGTGATGAACTTGGGACTATGAATAAGAGACTCTCAAAGACTTTGGAACTTCCAGGTCTCCCAGATACCTCAGGTCTCGAAAGGTAAAAGAGTACATTTTTGGTTTTGTTTTTTAATTTCTACCACAATGATATGGACCCTACGCATCCCAGAATCTCAAAAGATCAATCTCTGATCTGTTTCTAACACTCTCCACATCTACTGAACTTTAGAATTGGCCACACACGAAAGAAAAAAGATGCTGGTTTTGTTTAGACCCCCAGAGGAGCCCCATAACTATTAGGGATTGTTTGTTCTACAGGCAGAACAAAGAAACACAATCCTGAGACCGCAATTACTGGGAGCTGACACCATGCCCAGAGGACAGGCAACACGGCAGGAGCCCAGGGGCCCTCAGTGACTTCTGGGCCCCGGCTTTCCCATCCCTGCTCCTCTGCCAAGTACACATTCTTTGGCTTTTCCGTAAAAGGGTCCCGTTTGACCAGGAAGGCGACACAGAGGTAAATAAAGAAAAGTGTCAGTGACATTTCGGGTCCAAAGGTAGCTCCTAATGCAGCTAGGGAAGAAGTGACTCATGTTTGGCATGGGCTGGCACCAATGCTGTGCTGAGTAATGACAGTTTCGGGAAGGCAATGTGACCAAAACACACAGCTCGGTTTTGTTAAGTGAGTATCACTCAAGCTATGGACTGATTTTAATTCCATCAAAGACACCAGATTATAAGGGAACTATGTACCCTACTAATTTACTAAAAATATAATTTCCCCTAAAATGACTTTAGAAATAACAATGTTTTCAATGATACCTTTCCTTGGCTTGCAAAGACCTGAGTGCACAGCCAACTTTAAAGTGGAAAGACCAACAACAGGCTGAAATTAATTTTGCACCTAAATATCTGCCGGTAGACAGTCATAAAAAGCCTGCTAAGTTTTCATTATAACTATTTTTAAAATCTCCTTACAATAATAATGAAACACCAGTAACAGTAAATAGCAACACCCTTTCAATTAGGGTTCATAGTTTATATTTTTAATTGAAAGTGTTTTCCCAAGAGTGAGTTCTTTTAGGCCCTAAGGTAAATTTAAAATTTGGAATAATCAAATTCTATTTTTTAAAGATTAATTAGTTCATCAATTCAATCTTAGTGGAGCCCAGTAAAGCAATTCCAATTCTGCCATGTGAGGAGTGTCAATAAAGAAGGGTATGCAAAACAGGCCGGCCTGATTCAAGGTACTATTAGGCCATGCTGAGTCTGTTTTGAGAACTTGTTTCTGCTTCACCTCACTGTCCCAATAGCCCACATCCTATCAGCCCCTCCTTTCCTGCCTCCCTGCCACCCTTCTAATGCTGTTGCTCAAGGACGATCCTTAGCTCTGACAGTAACTGACCACTCAAGGAGAGGGAGACTGGAGCCTGTCTGGTGGTCTCTCCCTGCTTCTGAACATCTTTTCGGGACCTGGAACACTCTTGCATTGGAACGTGGTGTGCAGGTTCTAACCTATACTTCCTGTAACCCACATCAGAGGGAGAGATTTGCACATTAACAGAAACAGAGAACCCAGAGATAGCCCCGCATAAGTCTGCCAGGTACATGCAACTCCTATTAGTATAATTTTCAATTACTTCAAAATGTATTTTCTAGCATTTTCAGCACTGCCAGATCCAGGTTTAAATTCTATTTCTGACTCAACTCTCCTGGACATTAAATACTTTGTGCAAAGAAACCAAGATGGCCCTTCTCTGCAAAATCCTCAGAACCTCCTAGACTTTTACAATCTTGAACCCAGGTACCAAGCAACACCTACTAAGAATAAGATACTGACCATCAGAGTTATTGCTTCAAAGAGAAAGAGTTAGTTCAGGGTCCAATGTGGGCATCCTATAGAAGCTACATTTAAAAATGTATTTGTGTTGTGAAGGTAAGAGCACACGGTATTTATGGTTTACACAGCAGGGTAGTATTTGTATCCCATCCACTCATTAGGAAAACCTAATGGATTAACATTCATGACAGGGCCGTATTTCCTATGTCTCACTGCCAGGTGGCTCTGAACCATCAGTGGTACATGAATGACTATCCCATCAGGCAGCATGGGACAGCCCCATTGGGTGGTACAAGCCACTCAATGGGACAGTCATGCATGTACCGCCAGTAAGTGGTTCAAGCCAGCAGGAACATGTTAATTACCTCTCCATAGATCTCTGAAAACTGAGAAATGCAAGAAGTCTCCAAAAGAAAAGGAAAACCAAACATGAGTCTTTGACATTTCCAAAACAATAATTTCTCCAGCAACTGCTCCTTCAATAATCAAATTACGGATATGGCATCTGGAGACCACCTCATGCCACTAAATATAAACTTCTAGCAACTTAAAAGGTTAGAGAGCAACATTTAAAAATTTTAAATAGGTAAACTGGTTGCGTGGTCTGAAAACCAAACAGGAGAAAGCTCCAGGAAGAAGCTCCTCCTACCTCCACCCGCACCTCCTGCCCTCCTCTGCCTCTCTCCCAGGGCAGGTAACAGGCAGCTTTCACTTCCTGTGTATCTATACAGTTTCTTGTGTTCTGGTAAGCATTATCTGTACACAGCCACACACCCCACTCATCCCTGCCTTTTACAACATACACCGCACTTCCTGTCTGATCACTGACAATGCTTGGCAATGTTTGCAAGTTAGTTCCTAGAGGGGTTCGCATTTCCACTGCTGCGTACTAACCTATTTGTGCGTGTGAAAAATACACTTAGCCAGACTGCACAGCCAGGCATTTAGCTTGTTTCTAGTCCTTTGCTGTCACAAGAACAGCGCTATGTATGTGTGCCACTCCCATGTGTGTAGGCATTGCTGTGTTCAGGGATTAATAGTGCTTCTAGCTTTCATGTCTCCATCAGTTTAAACTCTACCTGTTCCTAAGGGACACTCTTACTGGTGCATTCATAACACATCCTAATTTCAATGCAAAGACATGTGTCCTTTAAAGACTACAAGGTGAGTTTCTGTGTCTTGCTATTAGGGAGAAAGATGTTTCTTTTGTCACTAGGGAAATTCACTTTGAAAAATACTTGTATTCCCTGGTGGTCCATGCCTATAATCCCAGTACTCTGGGAGGCCGAGGCAAGATAATCACAAGTTCAAACCGAGCCGGGGCAACTTGGCAAGATAGCGAGATCCCATCTTAAAATAAAACAGAGGGCTAAGGATATAGCTCAGTGCAAAGGCCTTAGGTTCAATCCCAGTATGTCAAAAAGACAGGAGAGGAAGGAAGAGGAGGGAGAGGAAAGGGGGAAGGGAGAAAAGCGGACTTGGATTCCTGAATAACCTTTTAAGATATCCTACTTTTGATAAGCCTACGGGGCCCATCAACTGAAAATGGGGAGCTACACTCTTCTCCCTGAGTGAGCTAGACTCAAACGCATCTTGCTTACTCTCACCCTCCACCACCTGCATGTCATTAAACATGCGGCTGCCACCAAATAGCTCTCCTTCACCTGGCCCTGTCCGGGGACAGTGATTCTCTCATCTTAGTACAAGGACATTCATGTCACCTGCTGGTCTGCATGCAGGTGGCGTCCACAGTGACCAGAAGCTGACTACAGGTACAACCTCTCAAGCTAAAGGAAGATAGATAAAAAGATGCTGTCTGGCTCAAATGTCAGCAGCTCATGGCCTGTCTGCAAGTCCTCAGTGGCCACCCAGCCCCACGGCTGCTTAGACACAGGGCTGGGATTTCTGCACAAGGTCCCCGCAGGCTCCACTCCACATGCTCTCTGGAATGTGGGGGCTCCGAGGCCTCGCCTGCCCATGTGCACCTCAGTGTCTCCCTTTGGGACTCCGCTGAGGGTCCCCACCTCTCTGCAGCCCCTCCAAATCCCCCAAAGGACAGCAAGAAAGCAGGGACTAGCATCTATGTCCCCTGTTCTGTTGTTTGGTGTGGACGAAGCAGTCACACTCTCTGTAGCAGTGTCGACTACCACTGTTTCCATTTTAAGATAAGAAAAATGAGAGGAGACAGAAAAGCAGAAATTTTGCCTACTCTTTTCAAGGAACTTAGAATTGAATATTTGGGTTAGATATACTTCCCCAAAAAACCACAAAGTTATCTTCTTCCTTGCAAATATATTTCTCTTAAGACATTTTCTTTATTCACATTTTAAAATCACTACATAATCAAGTCTCCAAAAACTCCACATTCTTCAGGTAATAACAACCTGGGCTAAGGTGAGCTAATCAAACCTATCACTGTTCTAGTACAAACAACAAGTAAACTTCAGCAGGTTTCCACAGACCCATGTTCATGTTCATGGTTCATCAGTAAAGTGATGAGCTGGAGAGCAATTTATATGTGCGTGCGTGTGTATGTGTGTGTGTGTGTGTATGTGTGTGTGTGAGACAGAGGACAAGGGACAGAAACAGATAAAGAGACAGAAAGAAACTGATTTCTCTTCAGACAACTACTAGTAATCCAAATCTTAAAATGAGTCTGATTCATCAATTTCATCTTCACTGGTCTTAAGTTTTTGTAAGGAAAGAGTCAAACCTACCCAAAAAGAGTACAAAAAAGAGTGAACAAGTACAGGAAGAGTAGTATTGTGAACCTCGCTCAGCCTTGATAATTACAAATTATTATAATTATCTGCCCCTGCCTGGTAATTTTGAAGCAGCTTCTGCACACCATACTGTAGCTCCGTGGGATGACACACACTCCTGATCCCCTCACAGGTCCCAGTATCAACATGGAGCACAAGGCCAGCACCAGGCCCTCAGAAAAGGACAGGCACGGGCCGTGACGTGTGACGTCAGGTAAGAGAGCTGCAGGGAGTGCTAACCGTCCTCAACAGTAATGAGTTTCTAGTTGCTTAAAACTCTCTGGCTTGGCTGAAGCTATATTAACAATAAAATAAAGTCCAGCTAATAAAATTTCTGTGCCTTTTTCTTTCCTCTAAGAAATACTGTTAACTTTTACACGTAATTTTCTTATTCCTCATAAATTTCCAATCATTACATCAATACTTCACTATTAAAAATCTGATATGGGGCCAGGGATTTAGCTCAGTGGTTCCGCTACCTGCCTCACAAGTACAAGATCCTGAATTCGATCCCCGGTACCAAAAAAAAAAATCTGATATGAAGGTCCTTTTCTGTCAGAAATAAGAAAAATATTATAGGCTGAAATATGAATGTTAGCCAAAAACATTATTTTTTTAATCCCAGTAAAGAGGGTACAGTCAGCCTCATTTTAAGTGGCAGATTAAAAGAAATAAATTCTCAACACTTTCCAATAGATTCTGCTTGGTACAGATAAGGAGGAAGAACTCTGACATGCAAAAATGACATGAGATTTGAGAAGCCAACAGATGAAAGAGAAACAGGCCTAACACAGACAGAATCAGTGACTAGCACCAACCTTGTTGCTGCCCAGACTGTGTGGAGAGACAAGATCTTGCCGGCTTCCAGACAACTAAGGAGAAAGGAGTGTTAGTCCTCCAGTGTGGGAGCACAGACACAGGGCCTAGGGAGGGCGGGAGGGAGCAGGGAGGCTGCAAGGACCCAGTGGGGCAACATCAGGGGCTGTGAAGGCAGAGGCTACAGACCAGTGACCTAGGACACAACACTGAGGTTTCTACAGATTTGGACGTCGGTTTCCAGGGAGGTGACAACAGCTGGCCTTGAAGGTGGCTGTCACTCTGTGAACCCCTTTGATTGAAAGGATACCAGCCCCTGGGTTCCTGCCACGGCCTGAGCCTTCCTTTGGGTACTGGGAGTTTGTAAAAACTCACAAACTGTATTTTAAATGCTGGGATCCCAAATACCAAGTCTCTGCAAATACTAGTATGTTTTAATACACCATTTTCTGAAGGAATGGCAAGATCTTGACCTTGAGTTAAAGTGGCATTTCTACACATCTGAGAGTGGCTCCAGCTCTCTGGTCTGAGGTCATTAATGCTATCACCTGTAGTGATGTCACCGCGGGCCCACGGGTTCTCTGGTGCAGAACCCTCCCTGTGGCCCTCTCAAACTCTATGGCTTGCGACAGCTGCTCCTTCCCACACACTTATACTGTGACTTTTCTGGTTGTGCCGCTAGGACAAAAGTATAATATTTTTTCATATATACATCTTTACCGGAAAGGAGAAATAAATCTAGGTGCCACAAGGAAATTTCTTTGTGAAGAATTATTTCCATGTTTAATATGCACATAAATTATATGCATGTGTTTTAAAAATCAACAAACAAGCCCTATTTCAAAACCCTCCTGTCCACTCACCCCACCACCACTGATGGCCTGTGACTGGTCTGTACACCAGCTGCTGGCTGAGGAGATGGATCCTCAATTGAACCGCAATTAATTTCGGCCCAGAGAATGAACTGGCTGGTTTGGGGTCCACACACCCTTGGGACAGGAAGGAGGAGGGGCACCTGAGAGCTCTGTGGGAATGGCTCCCCCACAGCAACAGCAGGCTTGGTGGCAGGGGGCATGGAGGTGACCGTGTGGGCGGGGCTCCCACATCAGTGCCAGAAGGAGGCGATCCTAGCCATGGGACTCAGGTGCAGGGTGGGGAGGGGAGAGTAGGCCAGACACATGGGCAGCGTCTCCACTCACTCTGTTCACGTTGGGGGAGCTGATGCTCCTCCTATTCAGCTTCCCCTTCCCTGTCAGCTGCTCCTTCACTGCCACTTCCTAGAGATCAGGGAAGACACACATGAGAGACGCATCCCAAACAACGCTACCCAAAGAAAACGGCTGTCACTTCACAGCCCAGAATGCCCCAATTTCAGTCGCTCTGAGTTACTCCGAGTTAATCAGAGTAAACAAGTCCAACCGACAGCCCTGCAAAGCACGGCCGCCCTTAATACTCAATGACCACACTGACCTGGCGAAGGCGATCCAGCGTCAGGAGGTTTTCCACGGCCAGCACACTCCTGAGGTACTTCTCGATGTATGCCTCCGAGTCTGCAGAAGCTGGGTTTTCCACATTAGCTGCCATCCTAGCCAGTGCTTCACGTTCCTCTACTCCCTGGGCATCCTGCAGAAGAAATTCTGTGTTCAAATTAAGGACCCTGCGGGAGAAAATGTTACAGAAGCTTACACGCTTACACTTACTTACACACACACACACACACACACACACACACACACACACACACACACACAGTTCTGAATTGCCAAAGAGGACAGATCTCAAATTTCCATGTTAACATCAACTTTTTGGAACTCAAAATGCATTTTTTCCACAGAAATTAGGAAACAGTGATTAGGGTACTGGGTTAACTTTGAGGCTGTTTAAACAAAGGATAAACAGCACATTCTTAGCTAAATTGTTCCTTACTTGATTTTCATGGTAAAAACAAACAAACAACACACATTACTGGTCAGAAAGGGTGAGCCAGAAACAGAACCACCTGAGACTAGGAGCACAGGATGGGATCACCCGAGGACCCCCAGGAGCAAGAAAGGGAGAGGGAGCCCAACAACCCTGGTGGGAAGCAGACACACAGCCTACAGGGACCCCCAAAGCAGGATTTGAGGCTCTCCCAGGGGTCTCCATCCTCAGCTGGGAACAACAGTGGCCAAAGTGGCCAACGTGGCCAACCGAGAAAGAAGAGCCCAGGCAAATCCTCCCTCATGTGCGCATGGATAGAGCCCTCCCTGCTCCTCCAACGTGAGCTGGCCACACATATAAATGGAAAACTCCCCAGTCAGGGAGGGACTTTATTAATGCACCTAATTACTTCATGTAAAAACGGCTTCGTAACAAATTACTCTCCTTGGGGAAAAGCAGGTCCTTTATTTACTTGTAATTTCATATGATAATGTCAGAAAGTACAAAATGTACATCCGTATGCCACTGCATCTTAAATGCCAACTGAAAAACAAACATCATTTTATATATGACTAAAGAAAAAAGACTGCTGATTAATTTTAAGATACCATCAATTATAGGACATTCAAACTTCAAATATATTTTTTAAAATGTGAATCAGCCTCAGAAGAGATAAAATGAGGAGGGTAGATTTATAAGATGGCTTAAGTTCACAAAACAAATAACATTTGTCTTCCTTGGGGCCTTGTACTAACCATGACCAGAAGAAATCAAAGTTGACAAGGGGAGGCATGAAGCTAGCACAGGAGACAAGAGGAGAGACCCCACCACCACCCAACACAGAAGCCGCTCCATGTCTGAGGAAACAACCATCCACTTCTGTGAGGAGACAGAGAGAAACTGTGTCTGTTGCTCTCTGGTCTAAGACCACTTCTTTCTAATGGCTTCTAGAAAATGCAGTACAAGGACTGCTGGGGGCTTCTTCATGATGAAACCTTGCTTATTAAGGGATCTCTTTAGTTTTGTTTTTAAGTCTAGTGTTTACACAATAAGCTTTGAGTTTTATTTTTTCTTTATCATCAGGATCTGATAATGTGAAAACAAAGCTTGAAAATTTTTATCCAGGCCCAAGCACGACAGGGTACGTTTACCTTTAAGCTGATTCCCCCACATTTCTTCCCTTTTAAAATTGTACCACCTGAACAATAAAAGCACTTTAGAGGATTAAAAATCTACAAGGCGGACTGAAGGAGAGGGAAGGAGGTAAAGAGAGAAAAGAAAAAGAGGAAGACAGTTCACTAAGTCTGTCATTCTCAACTGAGGTCAGGCCTTTTATAGGGTTAAGAGGACAAACAACTGAAAACACAGAAAATATTCAAATTCAGAGATTCGACAGTACGGCTCCAGCTAAACATACACATATACCTACTTTAAGCCTCACAGTGAATGAAACACCAGACTATCAGAGACCTAAAGTTCTCAGTGAGTCAACTCTGCAAACAGCTTAATTTTTAAATGTTCAGGAGGCTCCAAAGTAAACAGTTAAATAGTTAATGTTTATTATGTAAGTCTGATTGAAAATTTAGGAAAAAATTAGTCACTATTTGACCCTACTGGAAAGAAGAAAGTGTCTTAGAATATGAGAAATGTAAAACAAAAGCTATGTGCTGTGTGATCTACCCACTTTCTTTTCAAAATCTAGCCTCTGTATTAAAACATACATGGTCCACCTAGTGCTCGAATACTCAACAGAATCAATCACCAAATCCAAAGGTCTGAAACAAGGGTTATGATGCAGGGGTGATGGTGTATGAGCAGGTCCCTGTGACTTCTCCCAGTAGAAAGGAAAGTTCTTCACCAAAATACTGAAATCAAAAGTCCAGGCCACAACTGTACTGCACTATGAGTTAAGATCAGGGAATTCATGAAAAAAATCAATAGCATTCCCTTAAATATACATTTTTCATTTAAAATATATTTCTTGGGTAGGTAACTTTTCAGAGAGTTAGCTCTTTTTAAGTGCTTATTTTTATCTACAGGTTTTTTTGGTTTGGTTTAGTTTGGTACTGAGGATCGAACTTGGGACCTTGCACTTGCGAGGCAGGCGCCAGAACCACTGAGCTACATCCCCAGCGAAGTACTTATTTTTAGTAAATTCAAATCACATATGATCCTTCACCTCTGGAATATTGGAGACAATTTCAAAGGTCACTCCACAGCCAGGAATAGAGCTTCGATGAGACATCTTTTTTAGGAGACTTTGAGCAAAACCCTAGAGAAAACCAAAACAGAAGATAAAGTTTTTCCCCTTTCAAACTGAGTTTACATTAACAAGGAGACAGCATAAAGGACACTGTGTTCACTCTAACCGAAGACAGCAGCATTATTTCCAACATGAGCAAGGGAAACCTGTATCACTACATACGGCATCCCTCAGCTTTATCTTAGTGCACAGAGCCAACTGATCAGATGCCTGCCATGTGTGACAGACGGGTCCCATCCCCGACACATGGAAAGTACAGATTCAAAGCCTGAATGAAACCTGGCGCCAGGCATCTGGATAAACTCTGCTTCGATGCTACCAAAAGAAATAAAATGACCTTCTAACTAAGATAATCACGAGGACTGGTGACGCTCACTCTCTCTCCCTACAGCACAATGGGTATCTCGTACCATGAATATTGACAAGTTCAGGCATTAAATTCTTAGACCAAAGCAGGATCGTTATGAAGAATGATTTAAGAGTGCCTGGTCATTGTTTATGCTGACTACGCTTTTTGCAGTTAGGAATTGAACTGCTGAATTAATGCATAGATGACTCATTTGGAGATGCTGCTAAGACTGAATATCCTGTAGAGGTTGAAGAAAACAGCAATGGGGGTGGAAAGCAAATGGTGAATAAAGATAAGGAAGAGAGAGAATAGAAAATGGGCCCAGAGCCTTTTTCCCCATGCAAAAGGGAAGGCACAAACATGCAAAATCTCAAGGAAAATGAAAAATCAATTCATTTGGCCTTAAAAATACACAATTTCACAAGCCTACTTAACGATAATTTATTTCCTATTCAATGATATTTCGTTAATTTTTAAAAGGGATGAGCACCTCAAAATGTAGAGAGAGTGTTTATTTTATTTCATCCCTTCACTGCCCCGACTTCAGCACTGTGCTGAGCCAGGGTCAAGGACCCTGGTCAGGGTGGAGCTACAACAGCTTTATGGGTGGTGGGGGCAGTGACTGCTATCTTGCTTTTTGTTATCTATTTGCATGGAGTTAGTGATGCTGACTTGCATGTATTAGGGGCCTGTGGGAATCCCTGTTCTTACTATAAAGCAGCAATTATTTAAGAATGAAATATCTGAGTCTAAGAGAGAAAATGGCAGACTTTAGAATGTTTCCAAAGCACTACAAGCATGATGAAATGTGGCGACTTGTTGTCCCTATGATTAAAATAAATCAACAGTGGGACTGTGGTCGCTCCATGTGTCCCTTTGTGGAGGACAGTGCAGGGTGGGGCTCAAGACCTGGCAACCAGGACCGCTGGTTCAGAAATGGAAATTCTTTCAAGATGCTTCCAAGAGCAATGTGTCCCTTCAATCCCCTCCAGACTTACAAAACTGGGGAAACAGCAGGAGTGAATGGGAGACACACCATGTATAGCTTGTACCTAACCCTATGACCTGAGTTTTATTGATGTTGGACCAGCAAGCTAAAGAGCTGCAATTTTAACAGCATTACTGCCAGTCTTCGTTTCTAAGATTGATATTAGTGTGACATTTAGAACTAAAGATTAATTTTTAGGGGTGGAGATTACATCTAGGAGTCTGTCAACCATGACTGTGCTCTTTTAAACGAAAAGATTTATTTTCATCTGTTCTGGGTTTAGTATTAAGAATGCCTCAGGGCCGGGGATGTAGCTCAGTGGCACCATGCCTGCCTCACAAGCACAAAATCCTGAGTTCGATCCCCGGTACCTAAAAAAAGGGAAAAAAAACCCACATCTTCAAGAAGGCCTCATGAAAGGGAGGTAAGACAGTTAACTAGGATCCCCAAAGTCAACTTCCCAAATCGTTACATTTGCAGACCCAGGAACAGTGGGCGTTTATATTCTTAAATATTTCCTATTAAACCCTTTCACACGGAACAAGGGCCTTCATAATCCAACTGGAACTACACGAAGGGTCCTCTTCCTTGGTACCCCTGTCTATGCTGCCCACTATGCTTCCCATGCTCCCTAGCCTACCTGTCCTCCTCCTCCCCATCTCTGCATGCACAGTTCCTCCTCCACCTGTCCAACACCTATTCTGTAGTGTCAGCTCAAATGCCACCATCTGCTACGAGCACTGTGTCCTTCCACCACAATCCCCAGGTGAGCACTCTGCACAGACAACACAGAGTTCCCACGTATGCAAACGAGCTTTGGCTCTTTAGAGACCAATCTGCTTCCTTTGGCTTTTTATCCCAAAGCCAAGTAGATAAATCAAAGACTTTGAGGAGTGAAATTTCTGGAAAGAGAAGGGTAAGTAGCCCCATGCTGATGATCTAACAGCTGCATTCGTCTCATCTTGCAGGGCCCTGGAAAAAAGGCAATGATCACACTACTGAGTTTGCCCTGGACCCAAAAGAATGGCTGCAATTTGTGAATCTGCTCTAGGAGATTCAGTGTAAGCAGCTCAGTCCTGTCTAGGAGGAAGTAAGGATGACATGTTCAGTCTCTGGAAAGCGAAGCTCAGTGCTCTGCAGCCTATGTTTGCCCAGAGGTCGGACCCACGGTTAGAGTCATGGCCTAACTGAGGATCGCAGCCTCACCTGGCGGCTGTGAACATGGACGCAGATCCTTTTGCGCAAGACCAGCTGCATGTCTGCAGGGTGGCTGAGCTGCACCGTCACGCGCACGATCAGGAAGACTCGCTCATCAGCTGGTGTCCCTTTACTGAGCTGCAGGCAGCTGTGCACCGCCGAGTCCCAAGAGGCCTCTGCTTTTGCCTGCAGATGAGGCAGGAGAAAGCATTGCCCTCTTCTCCCAAGCACCAAACCCCTCGTCAGGGACCCACCTTGACAAGGGCTGGAGTTCTCTCCTACCAGCGCTGTCCTGGAAAGACATGGACGGCGAGCCTGTGGCCTCAGCCACCTCAGTCTGCACAGTACAGAGCATGGTACTCTCCTGGCTGGCTTGAGCACTTTTTCAAATGCTCAAACATCAAAAAAAGTCTCAAAAATTCAGTGCAGTGGACTCCAGTGTACTTTTCACCAAGACCCACTGTTAATTTTTGCCACTTTTGCTTCTCTCTTTTTCTTGCCACACACACATGATTTTTGCTGAACTACTTTGAAGTTGGAGAGATGACTGTCATGTTCAGGAGATTTAACATCAATCTAATGCTACCATTTATTACAGAGTTCACATTCAAATGCTTCCATGTTCCCAGCCCAGAATCATAAACTGCATTTAGCTGCCACATCCCTTTAGCCTGAAACACTTATGCAGCCTTTCTTGTTGCACATGGGAACCTGTGGGGGTGGTGCAGGACTAGCGGCAGTTTCCTCATGTTAGATTCAGGTTCTGCATCCTCAAAACACCATTCGGTGATGACGTGCTATCAAAGCAGCACATCCACTTTCCTTCCTTGGTACTTTATCATATGACGTTTTTTTTTGGTACCAGGGATCGAACTCGGGACCTTGCACTTGCGAGGCAGGTGGAGGAACCACTGAACTAAATCCCCGGCCCTATCATATCACTTTTTGAGCATACTCAAATCAAGGGAATAAATGCCCTAGATTTGCTCATCACAGATTCATCCATTAAAATCAAGATGTTACCTTTTGCCCAACTCCATGCTTCCTTTTTAAGAAGTCTGTACAAAATAATTTCAAAGCAAGTCTCAAAAATGGTATCATCGGCACTCCCTGCACTTCCACAGTGTTTCCTTCCACCTCTCAGAGGTGGGACAAAGCAGAGCTCCTGACCAGCCTGACCTGCAGCAGCCACGCTGACTCAGATCCTCCACCAGGACAGGAGGGGCAGGGGAATGGGCAGAATGTGATGTTCAAGGTCTGCTTTTTCTAGAAGTCATAATGAAAGGTTTTCATGTATATGCATTGAGAAACATTGGCACTGGAATGATTATCCTGCTGACTGCTTCCAAGGGCTTCTGGAAAGGCCAAGGAAACTTCCTGTCATCAGATTCTCACAAGTTCTGCTTGACTTACCTCCCCATCATGATGCTTCACAACTTGCAGCTCAAAGAACTCTTCCTCCTCTTCCCCAGTCAGGGTAGCATCCCATCCACCAGCTTCTGGGTCATCAAGGTTATCCTGAGAGCTGAAATCATCAGCTGAGAGCAAAGAGGTTCCATTAAATACAAAGATTGTTTCCAATGATAACTCCTACTGGCTTAATTTCAAAGTGCATATTATCAAAATTCTTCGGCTTCAAATATCATTTGCTTTTGCTTTGCAATCTCACATGATACTGATGTTGACCATTTAACAGTTCACAGATCTTAAGAGATACGAAGTGCCTCAAGAAATTTTCTTAGCCAAGCCGTTCCCTTTATGCTATATTTTATATGGAAGGTAAATGAAGCCAAGATACCTAAGTGGTTACCCAGGGTCTGCTCATAAATGTTGATGATGAGATTACAACCCAAGTTCCCCACCTTTTAGTGCACTGAAGAAAGAAGAAATGAGCGAGAGTGATTCCAGTTACCTATTAAGTTCAATAAAAAGATCGACTGGCCATGAGTCAGAAACTCGAAGTCCTAGCTAGCAACTGCACCATGGCCCTGTGGCTATTTGGTCCCAAGCCTGGCCCACCCACCTCCCCATCCATTTTAAGCTTGTCGTAGGCATCACAAATAAGTGGGCATGGGTGGATCAAGACCGTGTGTAGTGCTCAACAAGAGTCCTAATCACCTCTTCAAATAACCAGGTCTTCCTTAGGCTCATTTTGTCCACATTTCTTATGCACCACCCCTTCCCTCACCTATCTAGGAAGCCTAACATAAGAACAGGCCAGAGTCACCCCCATCTCCAAACAAGTAGGACAGAGTCCTCCAACCATATCTAAAAAGCAAAACCTCCCAGCCAGTCAGGCGGCTAGACAGGCAGTGGGAAAGGCCCCAGATTATTCTCTAACTCTGCACTCGTCATGAGCTCAGTGTCATGTGAAGCTAAACCTCACAGCACCACAACTCAGTTCCCAATCAGTGGAAGAAGCCACTGAGAAATCCACACTTGCCTATTTAGGGGCATCCACTGTAATACACAGTCCTTCAGCGGAAGTTTTAGGAACTTCACTGCTGACACTCAATTTACTCTTAAATCCCTAACTACCTTTTCATTTTCTATTTCCCCTCCTACATGGAGAGTACACAGGGGTGTCAAGATAACAAGTTATTTTCCCAAAAATGAGCAGTGCAGGCATGAATGCACAAGGAAGAAAAGTAAGAAATGCATTAAATAAATGCTAAGAAAACATGCTATGTGGTATCACCAGTTATTAGTCCTTCCCAGAGCAGTCTTTCCTAAGGATTAAAGAAGAAAACATTTTATCGTAGAAAATACCTGTACCATCCTCAACTGCAGGGAACAAAGCACGCACATGGCCCTGGGGGATGCAGCAGGGAGCCGGGAGAGAGCCAGGCGATGAGCTATAGACACGAGTTCCAAACCACCCAGGCTCTGTGGTGTGAGAGTTCACGAAGCTGTCCCCTCAGTGTGACAGAGTGCCTAATGACACACTGGGTCACCAAGTGCGACCGGGCCCTGAGCTGTCAGGTGAGCCTCTGAAACCTCCTCTCACTCACCATTCAAGTCAAGGAATATGACAGGAATGTGGGTTTCCATCCCAGGCACTGGGGTCCTGAAACATGAAGGACAGGCAGCTCCTCAGACACAGCAGATCCTCTGCAGCTCCTCCCCAGTTACACCCCGGATGCCCTCAGGGCTGCTACAGCCCCAGTGACAGCCCAGGCACGGTTTCCACTGACTAACAGGAGGTAACCTGAGACAGAACTGTAACTGCTGCCCCATGTGCCCCGACCCTCAAACCTACTCTCAGAGGGCCCACTTACTATTTAGAGTGAAGCCTCTGCCTCAACTCACTTTCTTGGCAAGTGATATACTTCTAGGCACCATATGGTTTAACTTACTATTTCTGATTTCCATGAAGTGGCACAAAACATTTGCTGACAGACAAGTTTAAGCCAGAACTAAAACCAAAAACTGATCGGGATGCACTTCTCTTACAGCCAAACATTCTTGTAAGGGAATAAATGATCTCACTAATTACCATAGGAATTGTTTTTTTTTTCTCGGTACCGGGACCGAACTTGGGTCCTTGCACTTGTGAGGCAGGAGGCAGAACCACTGAGCTACATCCCCGGCCCAGGAACTATTTTTAATACCAAATGCAGTGGTACTAAATATTGATTTCAGTTCTCAGAAAGCTTAATTACTTTGGCCAATAAAAATATTATTTAATAAAACAGTTTTAGGCCATAGTTACTCAACTCGTGAAAATAATTTAACAGTTCCTTAAAATCAAACAACGCCGTCCTTCCATGTTACTATAAATCTTCCATTAACTGCAGCACACAAAAGCTCAAGTGGGAAGCAAGGGCCCCTACGCTGCACATCCTACCATTCTGCAGGGGCGCCAGGGATGCCGCTGCCCGCGGAGGGGACCATCCCAGCATTCCTCTCCTCTGTCAGGGTCAGCCGCATCTCCAGGAGCTGCGCCTCCCGGTCAGCATCGTCCTCCGATTTATCTACAATATCGGAAGTGAGTGTGAGATGCGGAAGCCCCCCTGACCTGCTCAGGACTGGTTCCCTGCTCTCTCTGCTCCCGGCTGGTGACAGGGCCAGCAAGAAAGGCCTGGGGCCAAAGCAGTGGGCATGCAGGCAGCCTGGCCAGAATCAGTGTTCACAACCCTCGCCCAGGCCACATCAGCACCTTCTTCGGGAATCCTGAGGGCAATGTTCGATTTACCCACTATATCCTCTCCCTTTGCTGGGGGCTGGAGGCTGCATGAAAACATTCTGCCAGGGCACCTTTTCTCTGGAAAGGCCTGCCAGGCCCACCACTGACACATCCACCTGGCTCGTGACTTAAATGGCCCCAGATGGGTCAGCTGTGCACTGACTTGGGGAGGATGGAGCTGTGCAACCCGCTCCTCCTACCGGGTTTGCTGACAAGCTTCTGCAGCTGCTGATCCAAGTATTCCTGACGTTTTGTTAGCGCATTTAGCCATTTTCTGCGTAGTCTCTCCAAATCCCGATCCTAGAAGAAAATAAGGGAAACCATATAATGTCAAGATGGTACCTCCGAAACAGATGCTCCATCGTATCTTCTTCTAGCATAATTTAAAACCTAATCATTTCCTTACGAGCACTGCCAGGTGACTCTACCATAATTCAAAGCAGAAACACTCAGAAGTTAAGGCACTACTTTCTAGAGTGGCAATGCTTTTCAAAGAGTGTTCTCAGGTACTCAGCCGATTCTAATGGCTCAGGGGTAGAACTCCAAGCACTCATAATGAAGATCTTCTACCTGTTCTCTTTGCTGGATGGAGCTCACAAGCCATACTCAAAGGTCCTCAGATCTATGTGCCTCAGAACCACCAGAAGAACCCTTCAAAGCTCGTAACTACTGCCTCCTGTGTGACCCACTAGGCTCCTGAAGACAACAACATGTCAATACTTCTCTTCCTTGTTTTTTGTGTATTTTGGGGGACTGGGCATGACAGCAAGAGGACGGGTTATTATCAACAGACTAATAACTCTACCAGTCAACACCTGCAAGCAGGCCAATCTTACCTCATTTCCTTTTGTAATGAGGTTACAAGACTAGGTAGGTCAGTGGAATGCTGCAGATGTCGAGTGTCTGGATTTCACTAGGGCACTTAACCAAATAGCCTATGACATCCTTGTGGACAAGATGGAGGAACGTGTAATGCATCTACTTGAGTGAAATCACAGAGGACTCAAATACCACATCCAGAGAGCAGTGATTAATGGAATAATGTCAGCTTGAACGGAGTCTCTACTGTTGTGCCATAGGACTCTGCATTTAACCCCATCTGATACAATGTCTTTATCAGTGACTTATAGGAAGGCAGACACTTCTATCAAATTACAGTGATGCAAAACCAGGAGCATGACTACACTGGATGACATAATCAGGCTCCAAAGAGCTTAGACAGTCTTAAATGATGACTAACAAGCTGAAACTTCAAACATAAACAAAATCTGGCAGATTAGGGAAAAAAAAGAAAGAGAAAAAGTAAAACCCACAAAAGTCCTGGATAACTCCAGAAAATGGGTGTTTGGGGGGGGAAATGGCTTCACATATGGAAAGCACCTATGGTTTGATCCATGCTCAGGGTGAGGTAGCTGAACCCGGGCCTGGATGAGCAACTCCTCTCAAGGATGAGCAGCTGGGGAACAGTAGGGAGCCCGGGTGAAAAGGACAGCTATCATGGGGACGTCCTACCCCTAACACACCTTCCTTCACGGCCTGTGAAACAATACACCATGTTCTCTATTCTGTTTTACTTTAAGAAAAAGCAGTATTTGAATCAAAATTGCTTAATTATTAAGTAGCAGTACAGCAAGTTCCTGGAATGTGTAATTATGTACTTTAATCAAGTTGATTTGATGAGATTAACAGGTGCTCAATTACCTGGTAGCTGTCCATGTCCTCTTCCTCCTAAAAGAAAGATTACATCATGTAGAACCAAAACAATTATTTATCCAATAATCAGGCCATGCTATACAATCTGAATCCTTCCTCCAGAGTTTACATGCCTAATTTAATTAAGATATTATGTCCCCTCCCACTTTCCCTCCCACCACGCCAGCCCGCACTCTTGAGCTTTCCCATTGCCAGGAAGTTGAGTAAAACTCTGAGCTTCTCAGAGGAAAGTGAAGAGCACTGTCTGACCTTTTCTGGAGCCAGTACAATGATCTCCCTGCTGGGCTTATAGTCCCACTCACCAGGGGAAATCAGACACCTGCTGGCAAACAGTCTTTACAAGCCAGTGGGGGGTTTCTGCAGAGGGGTGGGTGGTTCAGGAAGTAATCACTCTTAGACACGGGGGAGTTTGTGGAGGCTGAGAAGCTTTAACCCTCTGCTTGCCACACACAACGCAAAGCCAGTACCAGTCTGGTGCAGTGATTCCACACAAATGTACTGCACTAAAAATGACATCCGAGGCAAATACAGAAATACGGAACTGTTCCCAGAAAGCAGTGTTCTGACAGGTCCCAAAGGACTCTCTAGTCTGGCTTCGTCTTTCAACAAGCACAGAAGAGCCCTAGAAACTTACGTGGAAGCTCTCGTGTGTCTTGGGGGACCTGAGGGGCCTCACTTTCACACATCCAATGCCAACAGACAGTATGCATTCTTCAATTAGTGGTAAAGTCCCCGATTCTTGTACAGACTTCACTTCCACTTGGATTCGCCGGGACTGCCCCTGGACCAAGAGTCCTAGAATCAGTGTCTTGATTCTAAAAATTTGGTTTAGAGAGACCCCTACAGGTTCATATTGAGAAAAACATCTATTTTAGAAATGTTAAATACTAAATATAAATTCAAAAGTAGTCAGGAAAACTAGTTATTTTCCTTATAAACAAACAGAAAAACACAGAATAAAGGGTTTATATATTTCTTCACTGAAAACAAATATTAAAAGAAAACATTCTAACAGGAAATGCAAACAGCTGTGTAATGAAAAATGTTCGATTTACTGATAATCAAATACATACAAATTAAACTAAGCATGATATATCTTTATTTTCATTTGCTAAGCTAGCAATTATATCTGAAAAGGGAAATTTCCAGTATTATCCAAGCATTATGAAACAGGCAATTGCATACACTGTACAGCAGGAATTTTTAATTGGTGTATGCTCTCTACAGGGCAATATAACTTAAAAATATAAGTACCCTTTGTCTCAGTAATTCAGCTGTCTAGGGATATAGTTTATTTAAAAGTAAATAAAACATACGCATGTAAAGAATCTAAAAGCACTGTGAATAACAAAAAATTAGATACAAATGTTTAATATTGATAACTGTTTAAATAAATTGTGTCGTATATAATGAAACATTATGTGGTTATTAAAATATTCTGTAGAGAAACATATATAACATTTAATTGAAGAGCAGATTTCCAGAGTCAGTATAGTGTGATCTACTTTTAAAAAATAACCAATCCAAGTTAGAAATAAAAGCTAATGCTATTTTGGATTAAAAATAATTTTAAACTGCAAAATGAACTGACCAGAAAAAAGCTGTTTCTGCTTAAGCATGTTTTCCTAATCAATCCTGTGTAACTGTATGTACAATAAAGGAACATTATAAATAAGAATTTCCAGTATTCCTAAATTACTGGCCTCAAACTTGTTTTATAAATTTTAGGAAGAGAAAACATCATTTAAAAAATGGAATTTGCATGTTCAACTTCAAGCCAATTACTCTTCCTTCTTCCAGCAGAGTTTAGCTCCCAAAGAGGCCTACATGACCAGGAAAATCTACTTAGGCAGCACTGAGTGCTATCAAGCCGCATTTCAATGGATGGGACACAGATGTCTTTTTATTTAATATTTCCCAAGGACCAGGCATCAGAGACTTTGTGAAAAAAGCCCCTCAGAAACTATTTTAATGGTCTAAAACAATTTTATTTCAATTGGCTACCTTTCTTTATTTTGCTTAAGCCAGAAGGTGACTTATTGTGAACGTGTGAAGGGTAAAATATGCAGTGAGGTTTGGGATATGGAGAGGGACAAAAAGGAAAGCAAGGGTTGGCAGTGGATTTCTGTTCCATAGAAAAGCTCTGAAAAGTCTACTTCAACTATTGCACTGAACTTCATGCGACTGCTGATATTTTACCATTTGCTGCCTACAACAGTTCCACATGATTAAGCCTAATGAGCTGTCCTCTACCACTTCTATGTTCAACAACAAAACGTCCCAATTTTCAAACGCTAGACTCAGGTGAGCCTAGCATTCAAGGCCCTCTCAACTCACTGCCACACAAGCTTCTTTGACAGTGTTTTCCTGCTTCCCAGCTCCTTCTACATGATTCTATACCCAATTCCAGCTGCAGGCTCTTTATCCTTGCTGTCTGTTATGGTTTGTGTTTAGATGTCTCCCCGGCCCCCCACCCTCAAAGCCTCATGCAGATGAGGTGGGACTTTCTTTTTCAGAGGTAGTTGAATCTGGAAAGTGTGATGCTGGGATTAAGGGCGTGAGATTACTAAACCACTACATGTGAGTGATAGGTTTGGGATCACCCTAATCCCCGTGGTCTTGATGGGATAAAAGAGGCAGAAAGACACAGTGAAGGGCTCCCTTGTTGCCTTTGCTACCTTGTGCGCCATGTTGTTTCTCCTCTGTGATGCCTTTGGCCATTCCTGGCTTGGAGCCAGCCAACTGTGGACTGAAACCCCTACAAACTGTAAGCCAAATAAACCTTTCCCCTCTAACTTTGAGTGTCAGGTATTTTGTCGGCAATGAGAAAAAAGTAACACACCATCTGTATAGGAAAAACCTGTCCAAACCTTGCATAATTTCTTTCCAGCATCCTGATAAAGATACACATCCTTCAAAACAGCTTTTCCTGACAAACCCAAGAATTTAATGTAAGAATAGACTTGGCCAGTCTTACATAGATTTCATTACATCAACACTTCTGTTTAAAAAAGAATCCAATAGTAAGGGGTAGGGGAGTAACTCAGTGATACAGCACTAGGCTGGCATGTGTGAAGCACTGGGTTCAATACCAAGGATAGTCAAAAAAAAAAAAATTCAAATATTAAGCCTTCGGGTGCCGAAGATTTTAATATGAACACTGGCAATCTCGTTACCTGCCGGAGTTGGAAGATGCCTCCTGTTGGGACGTCCTTTGCAGGAATTACTTCTACAGGGCAGTATTCACCATTCTCATTCTGTTCCAAGATCTGAGCCCAGAATTCTAACTTCCTAGTAACTTCACTCCACCTAGGAAACAGTTGTAGTGCTTGGAAAATCATACATTTCTATTTCAATACAGGCATCTTAGGGTCCTGCATATGAAACTTGGCAATGAAAATGACCTCCGAACAGAGTAACTCAGAGAATGGGCTGTAATTCAATGCACATACTGGCAAATATAATGAAAAGCACAGTTAGACTAACAGTATCAGAACTAGAGATGGCTTCTTTTCTTTTGTTCAGGAAGATATGGCAATGATAAATCTATTTAAGAGTGGTTACTCAAAAACTGAACATTCTAGTCAGATGTACAGAATGGAGTGCAGGGATTATCTTCCTGCAGACAGAGAAAAGGGGAGCCACACACTTTAGCGATTTGACAAACATCATCTCTCAGGTCAGTGAGAGAATCCAGATAAAAATCTCACCTCCTAATTTAGGATTTGCTAAAACTTTCTAAATGCAGAAAAAGAAAATCTGGTCCTTGTCTATAATTAGATGAAAGTAAAAACATCTTCTATTTCAGTAATTCCCTTTTAAGTCAACAAACCAGCTTGCCTCCTTCCATCACTGACACCGCACATGAAGAACTGCAAGCTACAAGATGAGTGAATATAAATGCTACCGAGGTCTTCATCCACCTTTCTCCTCCCTCTGCCCTCACCTTTTCTTTGGCCATACTGGGATTATACCCAGGGCCTTCACACTGAGATTCATCACTACCCCTCTTTAATTTGTTTTTATTTTTGAGACAGTGTTTTGTTCAACTGCCCAGGCTCAGCTCAAATTTGTGATCTTCCTTCCTCAGCCTCCCAGAGTGCTGGGATAACAGGCATGCACCTCAGTGCCTGGCCTGTTTCTTCTTAAACAGCTACACACTTCACTTTCTTCCAACACTTTCAAAGTTCACTCTCCTAAGGAAGTTCAAGTATGAGATTAATACCCTGGAGACACCATTTATTACTGAGACCTGGTATTGCTCAGGAAATAGTAACCTTTACTTTAAAAATGGCAGTAGGGAGCACAGAGGAGGTAGCTTCTGGGCCGCCATAGCATTGCTCTTAGCACAGAGGAGGTGAGCCGCATGGACACCAGCACCCCACCCCCACCCCAGTCAAAATGAGAAGACACATAAGTCTCAAAACCAGACTTCCAGATCACCTAAAACAACCCCAAAGGGAAATGAGATGGAACACTCTGATACTCAACCACCTGGACTCCCTGAACTGGCAACAAAAGAGGATCTGGAAAAAATGAAATCAGAAATAATTTCTCAGACAACAGCAGAGATTGTGCCCATAGTGCAAGACATGATTACTAAATCTAGAGATGAGCCCAGGAACACAATGGAATCTCAACATAGGAAACAAATGGAATCCATAAAACAGATGCAAATAGATTTCCAGGACATGAAAAACTCCATTGAAAGTCTACAAAGCAGAATGAGCCAATATGAGGACAGAATTTCAGATATAGAAGATTGCAACTAGTGACCAGGAAAAGAAAAATTGCTTTAACACCGTAAGGGGCCATGAGAAATCAATCCAGCAGCTGCTAGATGATGCAAAGAAGAATAACATAAGACTGATTGGGCCCAATGAAGAAACAGGAGCGAGTGCAGATGACATAAAAAAACTGTTCACAGAAGTGATGGCAGAAAACTTCCCAAGCAGGGGAAAAGAACTTGACGTACAGATAATTGAGGCATATAGGACTCCAAATAGCCTTGATCAAAAAAAAATCTACACATAGGCATATCCTTGTTAAGATTCCAGAAACCCAACAGAAGAACAAAGTTCTACAAGCAGTTAGAGAAAAGAAACAAATCACATACAAAGGAAAGCCCATCAGAATCACAGCAGACTTCTCAATCCAAACCCTCAAGGCAAGAAGAACTTGGAGTGACATACTTCAAGCCCTAAAGGAAAACAGCCTCCAACCCAGATTGATGTACCCTGCAGAACTATCTTTCAAAATGGATGGAGAAATAAGATACTTTCATGACAAAGAGTACCTTAGGAACTTCATGAATACCAAACCAGCACTCCCAAAACTTTTAGACAATATCCTACAAAAAGACGAGGATCACAACCCCAGGAAACCCAGCAGAATGAATCCATCGGGCACAACAAGAAATTAAATGCAAAGGGGGAGAATCCAACAAAAAGAAAAAGTCATGACAATGATAAGTCAATATGTATCAGTTATAACCATCAATGTTAATGGTCTCAATGCACCAATCAAAAGAAACAGAATGGCAGAATGGGTCAAGAAGCAAAATCCAACAATATGCTGCATACCAGAAACACACTTAATTTAAAAAGAAACTCATAGAGTGAAAGTTAAAGGGTGGAAGACAATACTTGATGTGACAGGAACCGAAAAAAAGCAGGAGTAGCTATCCTCCTTGCAGATCAAGTGGATTTCAACGCTGATTAAGAGAGACAAAGAAGAACACTACATCCTGGTAAAGGGAACAATCCAAGAGGAAGAAATGACAATCGTAAATATCTATAAAACAAACACTAGTGCGCCCAACTATATAAAACAATATAAAACAAATACTAACGGACATGAAAAATCATATAAGCACTAATACAATAGGAGTGGGGTAACTCAATACCCCACTGTCACAAATAGATCAACTAGACAAAAAAAAGCAACGAAATACTAGAACTCAATCAAACTCTTGAACAAATGAACTTAACAGATGTTTACAGTGTTTCACACAAAGTTAGAATACACATTCTTTTCAACTGCACACGAGTTGTTCTCCAAAATAGACCACATACTCACTCATACAACATATTTAAGTAAGTGCAAAGAAACTGAAGCATCCCCTATATATTATCGGACCATAGTGCAATGAAATTTCAGATGAATAGCAAAAGAAACCACAAAAATTTCATAAACACAAGGAAACTGAATGGCACACTTCTGAATAACCAATGGGTCACAGAGGAAATTAAAGAAGAAATCAGACAGGTCCTTCAATTAAATGACAATGACAATACAACATATCGGAATCTATGGGACATGATGAAAGCAGTCTTATGAGGGAAATTCATAGCAGTGAATACTCATACTAGGAAAACAGAGTGAGCCCAATTAAACAACCTGATGCTGAACCTCAAGCTTCCAGAAAAAGAAGAGCAGGAAATGGAAAGACATCCCCTGCTCCTGGATAGGAAAGATCAACATAGTGAAAATGGCCATACTTCCAAAATTGCTACATAGATTCAATGCAATCTCAATTGAAAGTCCACCAGCATACTTCACGGACCTTGAGAAAACAATCCAAAAATTCATTTGGAACAAGAAGAGACCCAGAATAGCAAAACCAATTCTAGGTAACAGAGACATGGCAAGGGGGTACTACAACCCCCAACTTGAAACTATACTACAAAGCTACTGTGATAAAAACAACACAGTAATGGCAAAGAAACAGACCTGAGGACCAGTGGAACAGATTAGAAGATGCAGAAACAACTCCAGACACACTCAGGCACCTCATCTTTGACAAAAGAGCCAAGCACCCTCGCTGGAGGAAAGATAGCCTCTTTAATAAATGGTGCTGGAAAAATTGGGTTTCAACTTGCCAAAGATTAAAACTAGACCTCTCACCAGGCACTAAACTAAAATCTAAATGGATTAAAGATCTAAATATTAAAACAGAAAAGCTGAATAGGCGGGAACAGAGGTTAGGTAGAACTCTTGAACACATTGGTGTAGGAAAAGATTTTATGAACAAAATCTCAGTGGCCCATGAACTAGCACAATCAATCAACAAGTGGGATCTCTTTTTGTTACAAAGCTTCTGCCCTGCAAGAGAAACCACCAACAGAGCTAAAGAGACAACCTACAATGTGGGAAAAAATTTTTACCTGCTGTTCCTCAAAGGTCTACTACCTAGAATCTGTAAAGAACTTAAAAAAATCAGACCTCCCAAATTTGAAGACCCAATCCAAAAATGGGCATCTGAAATGAACAGACATTTCTCAAAGAAGTAGAAATAGCAAATAAACATACGAAAAAATGTTCAACATCACTGGTCATTCAAGAGATGCAAATGAAAGTAAGGCTGAGATTCCACCTCACTCTAGAAAGAATGGCTGCTATCATGAAATCAACCAATAATAAATGCTGGCAGGGCTGTGGGGAAAGAGGAACCCTGCTCCACTGCTGATGGGAGTGCAGACTGGTGCAACCACTGTGGAAATCAGTATGGAGATACCTCAAAGAACTAGGACTGGAAGTCCCATTTGACCCAGCTATTCCCTTGCTGGGTATCTTCCCCAAAGAATTAAAAGAATCATACCACAGTGACATATGTGCACCCATGTTCATTGCAGCAGTTTGTAATAGCTAAAGCTTGGAAACAACCCAAGTGCCCTTCAACTGGAGACTGGAAAAAGAAGATGTGGGGTTTTTTAAATAAAATGGAGTACTACTTAGCCATAAAAAATGAGAAATTAGAGACATTTATAGCTAAATGGCTGCTCATTAAGGCGATACTCTTAACTGAAATAAATAGGATACACATGTGTAAATACCGAATAGTTTCTCTAGTGTGAGAAACTAAAAGTGTAAATAAGGACTAAAAGGTATAATAGATAATGTGAAATAGGAAGGGGCAAAGGGGAAGAGCAAGTGGGAGGGGTAGGGGAAAGGAAAGAAGGGAATGGAATTAATATGAGAAAATGAAGAAATGGAAACAAAGTCTTGGTAAATAGGGAGGGACGGAGGGGTTGGAGGGCAGGGGAAGGGGGAAAAATAAGAACCAAGAGAGATTATATAAAGGTGCATATTTCCAAGGATGAATGTCATTATATTGTATACCTAAAATATTCCAATAAAATAAAAAAATTTTTTAAATGGCAGTAGGCGCCTGCTGCGCAAGCGGGAAGGACCCGAGGAGTTTGATCCCCAGTACCAAAAAAAAAAAAAAAATGGCAGTAGGAATGTGTAGTGAGTTTTTAAAAATTATAAATGTAATCCAATGGGTATCTAAAACTCACCTGTCCCGCAGACTCCGTGTTTTTGCTTGGATGATTCCCAAATCCCACAGGGCTGGGTTTTTCCGAGGATCATTTATCTTATGCCCATATACTTCAACTGCCAAGGCCCCTTCCGAAAGGTGCTCAATAAAGTCTTCAGTGATGTTAGCAGAAAACTCCTGAAAACACAACAGTTTATTACAAAATAGCAAACACTTTCTGGTAATCGTATGATTACTTACACCCAACATCAAGTGCTTAATTCTGTCAGGGAGGAGAGAAACAGAGAACAGAATGCTTCTGATACAGAACAGAGCTATCATCCAAAACCCATAAGGAATGCTCAGGTGGCCTAAGGTTCTTGCCTTTAAAGATACTGCGGTGCTTCAGTTCACAAACTTAGTTCTTTCCACAATTCTGGTTGCAAACTAAATTGGATAAAAACCAAACTAAATTTGCCCATAAGATCAACATTGAACCTAACCATTGAATTTGATTCAGTTCTCATCCAATTGAGTTTGCCACCAGAATCCCGGAAAGAATTAAGTTTGTGAAACGAGGTACCACTTGTAACTCTACCAACTTTAAACTTTTCACTTTGAAAGTGTACTATGTAAGACCAGCATTATAGTCTATTTTGCTGGCAACATTTTGGGAGCTCTTTTCAAAAGTATAACTTCATTAAGTATTACTATAATAACATATGTCTTGTACATGTAATAAGGTAATAGTATGTTGCAGAAATGATTATTTTTAAGAAGTTAACTATCTCTCATAATAGGAAAGGAGATAGCATTAGTGCAAAAAATCACCTAAAAAAAATTTCTTCCAATCTGTCTATCCTTATAAGACAGTATCTTGCAATTAGGATTGTTTTACTAATGAAATCATGGAATTTCCCATCTCTAATGGTATCTCCCTCCACCCTCTCTGTCCATCTTCAATGCACTAAAAATATTTCTCTGTTTTAAACAAATGAGAAAGAAATCTCACTTTTAAAAACATAATGAGATGGATCAAGTGTGGTAGAGCAGCAAAAAAGATTCTGGAACCTACCAGTGCAGGCCCTGTTGGTTACTAGGTACAGGGAAAGTTGACGGTAACTAAGCAAACTGCCCTCAATGAATGGCTCCTTCAGCTGACAAAAGCACCATCATTAAATATAATGGGTAAGGACCAAAGGAAACAATAACAAAGTGCTGGACAAAGCGATTTCTTATCTTTTCCCTTAATTTTAATTTTCCCTTTTTTTTGTTTTGTACCGGGGATTGAACTCGGGTCCTTACACTTGCGCAGCAGGCGGCGAAACCACTGAGCTAAATCCCCAGCCCTCCCTTACTTTTAACACAAAAGTTACCTTTGATTATGGGTGAATTAAATTCACTGACACTTTAGTTTTTTACTCCATTTTCACCCTAAGAAGCTCTGCTCCAGACATTTACTGGCACAATTATTCAAAGAAATGTTATTTTTTGTTTCATTTACACATGAGAAGTTTAAACGTTGACCTGGACTAGAAAACAAACTCACACTGCAGTGATCAAAGACCACCATGCAGTGCGGTTCCTTGCTGATGGGCGAGGAAGAAGAGGTGTCCACTTCCGGGGCCACAATCACCGGCTCCTGATGATCCCAGAAGCTGTATTTGCAGAACACAAAGTGGGACAGATGCTGGGGCAGCCCTGTGGCTTGGAGTATTTTAACCTGAAAGGAAAAGAAGGCTCTGTGTTTTCATTTGAAAGTTCCAAGGAGTCCTTTGCATCAGAGACAGGGCTTCCTGTCCTGACTACAGCACTAAGTGTTGGTTTATGGTGGCCACATCCCATTCACTGTAGGACTGTATTCCTGCCTCTGAAATGATGACCAGGACTCTGCTATTGAGAGAGAGGCCTGATACAGGGTGACAATGACTTGATAATGAAGGTGGTGGTGCAAAACACTTAGAGGCTGAGAAAGGGCATTTAAATTCTAGTTTCTTCTAACATAATAAGGATATCATCATCACCATTTCAGAAGAATGACATTCTTAAATATCAACATCATTCAATGGTACGAATTTGGCTAACATGAATAAATCCTAAGAGCAAAATTATTAAGTATAATAAAAGAACAAAATCAGTGTATGTGCCATAAAGCAACAAATATTCAGGAAAGGCCAAAGCATTTATTCAGTATTTTAAAGTAGGAAGAGGAGCTGGGTATGGTGGTGCACACCTGTAAATGCTGGCACATAGGAGGCTGAGGATTGCAACTTCCTGGCCAGTCAGGGATACAGTGATATCCTTTCTCAGACAGAAAAAAAAAAGGAGCATAAGGAGGAAAGAGGTTCTCAGGTAGAAACTGTTGCATGCTGCAGCATTTTTTGAAGAACCTTGAAGGCACTGAAAATGTGCAAATGGAAGATCTGGAGGGGAGAATGGAGGGAAGTTGTTATGTTTTAGCTCCTACTATGCCACAGACTGAGACTACTGAAACTCTGAGCCAAAGTAAACTGCTCATCCTTTTAAGCTGAAGGTGTCAGGTATTTTGTCCCAGCAACAAAGGAAGCAGCTAAGACAGAAGTGAAGGTGGCAAAGTTTACCATTCTCTGCACCAACATTTACTCAATGCCTTCCTTATGCAGACTGAGTGGGGAAAGGTATCAGAGGAAGCATGCTCTGGGCTGGAGGACCGGAGAGTTCTGCGATAACAAAGTACAGTGAGAAACGAGTACCTCATCAGACTCAAATGCCCCCAGAAAAACACCTGTAATATATTTTAAAGTAACCAAATATTAAGATTTCTTTTGGTGGCAGCATTGAGCTGGTTTTATTTTATCTTTTATTGTTGTTGTTTGTTGCACTGGGGATTGAACCAGGGCTTTGCACTGAGGTACATCCCCAAGGCTTCTTTTTAATTTTTGTTTTCATTCTGATACAGCTTCTCATCAAGTTGCCCAGGCTGGGCTCAAACTTATGATCGATCCCCCTGCCTCAGCTTCCCAAGTAGCTGAGATCACAGGCATGTTCCACCATGCTCAGCTTTGGGCCAATTTTTAATTTCTAGTTTCTGTGGTAAGTTACAATAGTCTAAAACTCCTCCAACTGTGAAGGAAACTAAACCCCAAAGTTAATTAAGCTAAACTAAATTCTGATCTTATAACTGACTCAGCTAATTTTCATGATTTAGCATGAGTCCTAATACATATATTCTCCACTGGTCACTGGTCAAGATATTCTCCACTGGTTGCTTATTGTATGATTCACTCCACATCTAGTAAATAAATTTAATGAAAATAAAGTTGAATATGTGGCATTAGTTCACACTCACCCACCACAAATATAGCCTTAACATTTCAGGAAGTATTAATAAGGACACAGAAATCACACCAAGCAGATTTCCTCTACACCAGGCACAAAATGGGTCACCTACACAGAGGAGCTCTGCACAACTCATTTTTCCTGTGATGCCAGCAAGTCTGAAACATCTGGAGAGCACCTCCCTGACAGGCTATGAAAGCCACTGGCTGACACATTTTATTCCTCCAAAGCAAAGTGAATAGTCAATATTCTGCAATTAACTGTCCATGAAATGTTTAAAAAGCCATCATTTTTTTTTTTTTTGGTACCAGGGATTGAACTCGGGTCCTTGCGCTTGCAAGGCAAGCGATGGAAACACTGATCTAAATCCCTGGCCCAAAGCCATCATTTTTGGGTGGATCTTCCAATGCTGAACCAACACTGCCATCCCTATAATAAAACCACTTTCTACACACTGCCAGATCTGACTTCTAATAGTTTGTTTTGTTAAACAAATTTCTATCTATTTTCATACTTTTTTTTCTTCTATTATCTTTAACCAGTTTTAGGATTAGCACAATGTTGATTTCCTAAAATGTGGGGAGAAGCATTCCTTTTTTCTGTTTTAAATGTTTGATATCATTTATCAGTTAAAATGTATATGAGCCTGCTGTTGTCATATAGGTAGGTTTTCAAGCTAGGAATATACCTTCTTTAATGGCTGCTATTCAAATTTTATATTTTCTTCAGAGTTAGTTTCATTAATTTGTCTTCCAAGGTACTTCTTAGAAGTTGTCAAATTTATTTCAAAACAGATTTTTGTAATATGCTTTCTATATACTTTTAAATTCTATAAAATCTGTGGTAATGTCTCCTAGATCTTGATACTATAATTTAAAAAATGTATAATTGATACTGTGTAATAGGAAGAAAAGGTCTAAAGGAACAGGGGAAGTGGGAGGGGTAGGGGAAAGGAAAGAAGAGAAAAGAAAAAATATGAGAAAAGGAAAAAAGTGGAAACAAAGTTTTTGCAAATAGGGAAAGGTGGAGGAGGTGAAGGGAGGGCAGGGGAAGGGGAAAAAAATAAGAACGAAGATACATCATGTACAGATACAAGATCCCAATGATGAAGGTAACTGTATTTTATACTTAAAATGTACCAATAAACTTAATGGGGGGAAAAAGCCATCATTTTTCACTTTAAAATTTTTATTATAGCCTTTGAGGGGAGACAATGTGGTATGTGGGAAGATTACAAGATTTCTGTGTTACATGGATCTAAACAAAAATATCTGGCACTTCTTAGCTTGTGCGCTGGTACAGATAACTGAAATTCTTGGTTTTCTTGGCTTAGCTTTCTCCTGGGAGAAATGGGAATATGAATAGCTACCCTACTACACTGGGTAAATCTGACCACACCAATGAAAAGAAAGAAAATGAGTGAAAGCAGGACCAGGAATTGAGTCGATATTCAATACATGTCCTTTTGTGACTGAATTAGATCTGGAAGCCATTTTTTCCTATAGAAATTAATCTTAATTTTAAAGCTGAAATAAATAAGAAATAAGAATACCAAAAAGGAAGAATATTTAGGTTTTCAGAGTATGGGTTGTTTAGGTTTTTCTTTCTCATTTCTGTGTACAGAATGGAAACCACCACAAGGTGCCAGAGTACCACAGACTCCAACTTGCAGCTGTTTAACAGGAGACAAGTGCTGGGAGCAGGCGTGAGCTATCTGGGACTTGGAAATGTACTGATTTTACTCAATGTCAGTGAAAATACTAATACGTGCATAGTTTTATATGGAAAAATAAATCCAGGCTTCTTTTACTGGTCAGTGACTCATCACCCATGATAATCTCAACTGTCTCCCGGTTGGTTTCCCTCATTGTTCTACCAATACTTTGTTACTGTCATAGTTTGTTTACCCTTGTCCTTTTTACACAAAAGGCTGTTACATGGGAGAGCACAGTGTCTAAAAATTGCTTCCCCTTGAAAGCAATCGGCTCCTCGCAGAAGTGGCTGACTCTGGGTCTGGCACAGGAAATGAATAGGACAAGTAAGAGCAGAATATCCATCAGAGAGGTTGTTATTTCAGATTCACTACTTTTTTCAGTGATAAAAGATAAATTTCCTAAGGAAGACTATGAGAAACTACAAGGCAACAATTTAAATCAAGTTTCTACCACAAATAAATTAGAGGGAAGAAGGGATGGAATGAGGGAGGAGAAGAGTCAGGAGAAGGGAACAGGGGAAAAAAGGGAGTGATAGAGAGAGAGGAGGAGAGAGAGGGGGAGAGAGAAAGAGAGATTGACTGGCTCTTTGAGAGTCACATTTACTAGTGCATCACCTTTAATGGATCACATGGAGTCATCGTGCCTGTGTGTCCCTCTCCATAATCACATGTTAACACCTCAAGGGAGAGCTTCTAAAACTCTAGCACAATACAATAAAGATGAACCTCTTCATGAGTTCAATTTTCCCCTCATGCTGAACTCAATGAAGTCACACGGCAGGCAGAGATCCGTGGAAAGGAGCCCAGCTCTACCAGCAGTAGCTGCCCTACTCTTCAACAAATGTACCTGACCCTCAGCTTCAGCTCCTAAAAGATGCACTGAGCTCAGAACAGGACTGAACCTAGGGTGGCTTGAGGCTTCCTTCACTTGCATTTCACTGGCCTCCTTTCAATAGCACAAGCAGGTCCTTTGCTGATTTCTTGTCATCAAAACCTTTGAAACTGCTTCCTGCCACGCTTCTGAACCAAGGGCAGTCTGGCCAGTGAGGGGTGCTTACTCCCACTGCTGTGATGACTGGGGCAAGTGGCGCCACCGAGGCCGAATGGGCAGGAGCCCATCCAGCCCACAACTGTCCTCCAAAGACTCGGCACCCAGATACAGGTGGGCACCCGGCCCCGCTCCCTTGGCTTCCCAGGAATCTACTTCCCACAATGCTGTCTGGATTAGCAGCCTCTCCTCTGGGGCCTGCTCTACCAGAGCAGCTGGGTCACACAACACTGGAGTCTTGTGTTCACCCTGTGTGTCCCCTACAGGTACATGCCAAATGCGCAGAGTGGAGCTGAACAGGAGGAGCCCGGCTGTACCCACCTTATACCCCCAGTATCAGACATGCCCTCTGGCTGGTGACGCTCAACATGGGCATGGTCCTCAGAATAAGCACTCAAAGAATTATTTGGAAATAGGTGTTTTCAAAAATTGAAAAAGAATTTAAGAATTTAGACAACCACAGTCCGCTGGGTATGGTGACACAAACCTGTGATCCCAGCACTTGGGAGGCTGAGGCAGGAGGATCACCAGGAGTTCAGGCCAACCCAGGCTACATGGTGAGTTCAAGGCTGGTCTGAACTGAACTATACAGGCAGACCCTGTCTCAAAAAAAAAAAAAAAAAAAGAGAACCACAGTCCTCAAGAACAGCCCCACTTGGGCTACTTCTAAAGGAACCAGGGACTCACCATGCAGACCAGTCTGTTCTCCTGGGCCTCTTTCTCACAGAGGACCTCCATGGGGTCATCGCCTCCTGCAATCCTTTCCCCGATGGCACCGCTGATTCGCATCACCTCCACATGCAGCCGGCCCGCCACCTGGAGCAATGGGGCAGAGCAGACACTTGTTTCCGGATATGGTTCCTTCACCCTCAGAGGACCACTCTCCTGTGTTAGAGCCAAGCTGCCAGGTATTAGTTTTATTTTGGGGGGGGGGGTTTGAGGCAGGGCCGCATTAAATAATTCAGGCTGGCCCTGAACTCACTATGTAGCTCAGGTCGGCTTGGAACTCGGTGATCCTCCTGCCTCAGCCTCTCAAGGGTTGGGATTACAGGCATGCACCACACCACACCCTGCTCTTTAGTTATTAGTTTCTAACTGCTGCTCTGCCCTCAAAGTACTGGCAGTAACCACCATAAAGCCCTATGGAAATGAGATATTTATAACACACATACGTATTATTTGTCACTACTAACAAAAAACCCAGTAGCAACAGCATCCCACTGCTACCCTCCATTCCCAGAACTGCTCTCCACAGGAAGTGAGGCACAGAGAGAAAGCCAACCTCTCCCTTCTGGTTGATGATCGGAACAGCATATTGTAACTTCACATCATAGAAAAGGGATTTGAGGAAGACATTGGCCACCCCAATTAGACTGTGATTTTCCTGTTCATCGTAGAAAGGGTCAGCACGCTTGAAGTAAGATCGGATTACCTGAAAGAAAGCCAGGGCATACAATTTCAAAAACCACAGAAAATAAATGCATTCAAACTACTGCTTTTGGATACACTCTAATTTTAGTCATTAAACTTAACTTTTATCACTATATCATGAGTCCTATATTTCTTAGTGTAAAATAAAGCTCTTTTTTTGAGACAGGGTCTCACTTTGTAGTTTTGTAGTGCTAGCTGGCCTTGAACTCACAGTGATCCTCCTGCCTTGGCCTCTGGAGCACTGGGATTACAGGCCTACACCACCACAACCAGGTTAAAACAAAGTTCTTCTTCATGCATAGCACTGTATTATTCACTATGCGCTCTCTCTCTCTCTTTCTCTCTCTCACACACACACACACACACACACACACACACACTTAGAATGGTGGTCAGGGTCCTTCACCCACAAGAGGGAAATCCCAATAACAATTCCAATAACTTAATCACTTCTACTTCATGTGGAAATCTCAACACAAAAATAGAGAAACAACGTATATTGCCTAGAAGGTGGTCAGGGTACTGAAGCTCTCCTCACTTTTATCGAGGAGACCACCACATCGGTGTCACTGCTCCTACTAAATCGTTAGGTACATGGGTACAAATGAGGGGTGGCCTCTCAGAGGACAGCAGTTGGCGTTTGTAACTGTTTTTTTACTTCTGAGTGAAATAGAAGCAGAATATAGAAGAGAATTTTAAAACTTTAAGCAAGAATATCTAACTATAAATTGATGACAATTTAATGATGACAATCTAGAAAAATATACATTTTTACAAAATAAGAAGCTACGTAAATAACTCCATGTGGACACAGAACCCACAGTATTGAAAATACATAATACGTCTATTAACTCCATGTGGACACAGAACCTACAGTATTGAAAATACATAATACATCTATTTTAAACATGTGCAAGTACACATGCTCGACCTAAATGAAATAACCTTCAAATTGACGCGTAAATACCAGCAAAAGATCTATGGCACCTACTTTAGGGTCAAAACCTCTTTTAAAAAAATGTTCCTAACAGTGCAAGTGTTAAGGTACCAGTGATGTTCAATTTGAACAGCATGTACTGTAGGTTTGTTTATTCTTTGCAGGGCTCAGTCTGCTGGGGAATGGGAAGAGGGAGGACAAGGTCCAAGCTCTCTCTGTCCTAAAGAGAATCCCAGAGAAGCACAGGACACACACCTGCTGGCCAATGGAAGGCCTAATGGGAAGGGAGAATCTGCTAGAGACCCAGAAAAGAGAGTAAGGAAAAGGAAAAAACCTACCAGAAGGGAAGGTTATTAAAATTCTTAAATAGTTTAGAGGATTAAACTATTTCTAACTAGAAATAGCAGAACAACTTTGGGGAAATGAACAGTTTCCTCTGCAATGGGCAGGCGAGCTCCCTGCTCTGAATGCCCAGGAAGCAACTGGTCTCCCACAGCTTACCGGGGTGTCTTCCTCACACTCCTTCCACTCCTGGTAAAGGTCTCTCATGTCCAACAGCCTGTTGTCCAGTTTCTCCAAAGACCAAATCTGCTTCCCTTTGCCTTTTCTTCTCACCTGGATTGCAGGTTCACTGAGAAGAGAGCCCCGCTGCAAAGACAGGAGGAGGGAACTATGTGGGACACCAGAGTGTCCACTGGCAGCGAAACCACCATCGGGCGTCTGGACCCACCAGTCAAGGGTCACTGTGCCAGGTTGATGGTGACAAAACTTCCCAGAGATCCGGTGAGCTTTAGTGCCTTTACATCCAACTGCAATCACAATTTAATGTCAGTATTAACTTAGGCTTGAGTATCAATTTACTTCTCAATTTTGATTGCAGTTAGATATAAACTTAAATTTAAAGCCCCCAAAACCAGACTATGTCTTATAGGAAGTAGAAATGAAAATGCTGCATTCACATCATCATACATCCACAGAACACCAGAAGGTAGAAAGAGTCATACATATCAAAAGGCAAGCACAATTCACAATGTAAGTCAGTGAATGTCTGACTAGGGGAGAAAGGGTTGTGGAGTGGTAACAAAATGAAGGGGAAACTGCTTTGGGAAGACTGATCAGGACAGACTTCCCAGAAAACAATTTAGACAAGCTGAGTAGTGGAGAGTGTGTTCCTATGCCCCTATCACAGGGTGACACCTGACACCACCTCATCCCGGGGCAACTTTGGTGGTGCTGAACGGCTGCCTCACCTTCCTATTGGCATCCAGGCTGGAGGCTGGAATCTGGAGGGTCACTTTATACTCGGTTCTTTTATCCAGCTCCTCTGCAATGTAACTAGCTTCTCTCACCAACAGATTGGCTTTAACAATTTGTTCCCTCAGCCTCATCAGGCTGTTATTCAATGTTGCTTCTCTTTATAAAGAAAAAAAAAAAAAAGGAAGAGTGGAGGTGAGGAGGAAGTGACACACTAAGCACACTTAGAAAACTACACAGTCATGACATGGAATGCCAAGCTGCAAACCGAGCTGCACTGGTGTCTTTTGCACGCAGGAAACATATCACTAGCACCGACCATGCACATGCTTATATCGGCTCTGTCACAAGCACGGGCACACCTGGGTAGCAAACCAGCTGGAGACAAGGGTGGTGCTTCACAAACCTGACTGACTGTGCATCACCCTGGGGTCTGGATAAACTCAGGATTCTGGCTCGGTGAGTCTGGGGTTGGGGCTGGAAACTACATTTCTATCAATCTCCAGCTGACAGGAATGCTGTCTGTCTGCAGACCAGACTGAATACAAGAGGTTAGCGATGCAACGTCTGCACCTAAGGAATAAGGGTCTCAGTGCGCTGCTAATTGGCCTGCAGAGAGATTACACTTGCAATCTGCATCTCATCTGGCACCATGCTCTACCTACCTGAGCTAATCAGTCCAGACAACCGTCTTTTTTTTTTCTTTTGTAAAATGCAACTACCCAAGCTTCAGAATCTAAAGTATAATACAATGATAAAGTATACTTCTTTATTCAAATCCAAAAGCTGTATTAACTGAAAGTGGACCAGCACCCAACATAGGCAGTTTTAAAGAAAGGGATATAAACTGGCAATTCCCATTTATTCAAAGATGGAAAATAATGCCAAGTGGTTCTAGGCTGCAGTGTAAATCTTTCGAGCAGTGACAAAGTGTCCCCGCCCCGGGCCGGGTACTGTGGTGACACCAGCTCCCCCACCTCTCCTCCGCCCACTGTCGCAGGCGCTGCTGGGCGCTAGGCGAGTGCAGGGAGAGCCTGTCCGAGCTGCGACAGTTCTGCTTCTCTGGAGACAGCCTTCGTCGGAGCTGCTCCAGCTCATGCTCGTACATGAGCCTCTGGCGCTCAAGCGCAGATCGCTTCTCTTCTTCATGCTGCTGTTCTAGGCTGTTCAGGATCGACTGCATTGGATCTGAACATGGTTTGGAGAAGCGGTAATGAACAAAGGGTACAACACACTTCACATCCATTCTACATTGTTCCACTGTCTGTCGTTCTAACACCACCTAACACCATGAGAGGCGATCTGTAATAGTCAGCTTTTCTTACTGCCAATTACTTGTATTTCCACATATTCTCAGCTAGATACATTCCACACTATTTTTCATAGACAAAAAGCAGTTCTCCTCTATGTGCTACCCACCACCCAAGAGATGAACACTCCAGAAATACATCATAGTAACAATAAGCCAGGGTTCAAATCTGGGAAATTCTACAAATGGGAACAAACTCTGCAGTGATTTGATTGTATATGAAGGCAAAAAGAATGTTTTTATAAATATAATAAATTATCATAGCCAAAAATACAAAAGAATAGAGTTCATTACAGCAAAAAAAAGTTCCAAGATCAGCAATGTAAAGACTTTCTTTTTTCGCTAACATTTAAAACGTCTCATCACAAACATTTTTAGGGCCGGGGATTTAGCTCAGCAGTTCCGCTGCCTGCCTCACAAGCACACAAGGACCCAAGTTCAATACTCAGGAACCAAAAAAAACAAAACAAAAAAAGAATAAACATTTTTAACTATCACCTTGAGAAGACGCTACCGTGCACAGCAGACTTGCTCACCGTTATTGCCCAGCGCCTTCATGGTCACCTCCATCTGTGCATACTCAAAACTGAAGTTGATCTCACTGGATACCTCACTGGAGGAGTCCCCGTCCACATCCAGCTGCTCAGAACTACCATCATTTTTCAGGGAAGGATCCTGCTCCTCATCCTCTCGTTCTGCTTTCTTCTTCTTTTTTGGCAAACTGAGTCTTAAGAGTGCACAAAAAGTTTTTTTTTTAATCAAGACAGGTACTTAGTCATTCTACTTCTGAAACACTGACATTTGCCAGATGCCAAGGGAATACCATGAAATACAGGGCAACTGCTGTTTTCAGGATCTTTATACTCCAGGAGTAGAAGTAAAACACTCAGGTGTACACAAACAATTATAATGGGAAGTGAGACACCGCCCACCTGACTGTTAGGAGCTGGGTGGGAAGAAAAGCTGAGACCCCTTCAGAGTGGAAGGTAAAGTAAAGAAGGGTCAAGTATGAACCATCCACGCTGAGCCTTACAGGATAGGCAGGCAGCCGGTCAAAGGGAATGGTTCAGAGGGAGATGTGGAAACAGAAATGCCCCTAGTCTCTGGGGCACTTAAGAATAAAACAGCACAATACACGAATCTGTACAGGACAAGCTCAGTGTCAGAGCTGGAAAATCAACTTAGCCCAAATCAGGAAGGTTTTGAAGATGAAGGCAAAAAATTTATACTTGGGACCAGGGATTTAGCTCAGTGGTTCTGCCGCCTGCCTCACAAGCGCAAGGATCCAAGTTCAATCCCCAGTACCAAAAAAAAAAATTTATACTTCATTTTGGGAAGGAGAAAAACTGTCCACAATCTTTGTACCTATGTACCCTTTCCTCAGAAGCAAAATACAGTACCAGCTGGCCTACAAGCAAGGGTCTCTATTAGTGACAAGAAGAGTCAGTGTGACAGCTGAGGCACACTGGCCAGGGACCGGAAGAGGATGCCGGGACGTTAAGGCGGCACAGTCTCCTGCCTGACTGTCCCTCTCAATAACAACACCAGTCTGTCTGGGGAACAGTTCCCGTGCAGCCCCGGGTAGAAACCTGCCCTTCCCAGCCTCCCTGGCAGCTAGGAGACAAATTCGAGCCAAGTAGATGTGAGTAAAGATTGCTGGGCTCTGGCTAGAGGACAGCCATGCTGCGCTGCCCCTTCACTTCTCTTTCTCCCTTGAGTTGAACACTACATTCACAGCAGGAAGGGCACAGCCACTGTGAGACCTGGCAGGTGACCACCAGGACACTTCTGAGAGCTCAGTCCACACTAACTGTGCAACCACCTCAAATTGTTTGTTCTGAGAAAGCACTACTCTGTTCATGCCATCACTGTCAAGGGTGCTGCTACTTGCAGCTAAAAGCATTCCTAAAGGAAAGACTAACCTGATTTCATGCCTAAGGAAACGACAACCACCATTATTTCTAAGCAAAAATGCATATGTGTATATCTATAAACAGGTGTATATACCCACAAATAAAAACTAAGTATGCCAGAAAAAATTAATGCATTATTATATTACATGGCAAAATACTCCTCTTTCAGTGGGAAATAAAAAGGAGAAAACACATACATAAACTAAGAATTTTTCCTGTGTATACTGTCCCTGGCTCCTAGAGTTCAGACACTAACACAGTGAACAAACATATAAAAACATGCATATAGCAAACACATGCATATATACCCATACATACACAAAATAATGCATAATTTTTATGAAGTTTACTTTAAAAAACATATCCATTTCAGAGCATAATCGTCAAAAACATTTCCCCTTTGAGGACTGCACAGTGTCATACCTGAAGAAATGGTTATTTCCCCATAAGATTCTGTCCCCGTGGTACAGCTGTACTGGACTGGAGACTGAAGACCCATTCACAAATGTTCTATGGAGAGAAGAGGAAAGCCGTGAATGACAATTACCCTGTCCTCTGCTTTAATTTTCTAGTACTACAACAGTCTAGTTACTAGGGGAAACAAAATGATTGTAAGTCCAAAATAAAATGTGCCCTCAGTGAATTTTAATATTCGTAATATTTACCTCTTCACTGACTTCCCTAAAATGTTTACTGCACTAAGTATAAGAGGTGGCAGTGAGCCTGTCACTTTTTTTTTTCTGTGATAGTTAAACTGTCAACTTTATCGGATTGACAGCTTAGAAACACACAGGAGAATAGTAACACACACTTCTTCGTGTGTCTGGGAGGGAATCTGTTCCCTTCTTCTCTTGGTTTGTTTCACTGCTGTTTCCTGGCCGCCATGATGAAGCAGCTTTGCTGTCATGCTCTTCTGTGCTGACGTCTCTCTCTCAGAGCCACAAGAGTAGGGACTGAATAAACCTCCGACACCATGAGTCAGATAAACCTCTTCTTTAAGTTGTGGGTGTCCTGTAATAGAAGGCTTAGTGTGGCTTCTCTGGAAATCTTGTTCTTTCTTCTCCCAGTGTTTTTTTGTTGCTGCTTATAGTAGTAGGCACTTGTTGTTTCATGACTATTTGCTTGTTTATCAACTAATTTTGTAACGTTTCTCTGTTTTCTCATGTGTGGCCTCTGATGTCACTTCTCCCTTAGCCCAGGCAGTCATGGATGACAGATTCGGGTTTTTCTGGGTCTCCTTGCTTGATGTATTCATTCCATCTGATTTTTTTGGCTTGGTTGGATTTGTTTTCTTTGTCTAGGATATTCTTGAACAATTTTTGGGGTGCTGGTTTGGCATTCATCTCTTAATACGTTCATTGTAATGGAATGTCCTTATTTCTTCATCAAGTTCTGGAGGCTGGGAGGTCTGTGGCAAGGTGCAGCACTGGCATGTGGTGAGGACATTCCCCAGGTGTCCTAACATCAGTGAGCCTGTCACTTTGAGGAAAACAATCAGCGGCATTTGTTGCCAAAGATAACATTTAGCCTTTCAAATAAAAATTTAAAATTTCAAAAACCTTGTGTCAATGTCCTCCAACCAAAGACTACCAAGAATTTAGCATGGCGAACGAGCTGGGTTTACTACTCACACTAAGGGAGTGACATGGGGAACGTCAGGTGTCCTGGTGAGATGCTGTGAGAAAGGTCCTATATTGTGAGACCTGAGTTTCAGCTGGATGACTCTGGATGCCATCAGAAAGTGTCAGGAAACGGGGAACTCCCCAAGGACATTAATGACACTGTGGAAGCCTGAAGGGCAAACAGAGAGGGCAGGCCAAAGGCGGCCAGGTGCCCAGGAGCAGGAGCTGCCAGGTGGGGGTGTGTCTGCCAAAGACAAAGGAATCCTGAAAGCTGTGTGTGAGTGAACCAAGCAGCAGTGCAGGGCATTGCCAGGGTCTCTGACCAAGACCTGGTGAGGCCTAAACCAGACCATGGGAGTGGGAACATGGAGTGAGGAGTTGCTACAGTTAAGGAGAAAGGGCTTGGCATTGGGCTGTATGTCTTAATGACACCACCTACCACTAGCGTATTTTCTCCGTCTTAAAAATTACTGAGACTTGGGCTGGGGATTTAGCTCTGTGGTTCTGCTGCGTGCCTCGCAAGCACAAGGTCCCGAGTTCAATCCCTGGTACCAAAAAAAAAAAAAATTACTGAGACCTTAAGTACATTACTGAGACTTCCAGTACATTACCTGGTGTTTTTTTGAGGAGTCAGCATAACCTGGCCTTCTGAGGTGATGTCTATAATGCAGTGTTCAGGAAGAATTCCCATTCCACACAGCTGGATGTCCTGGGAATCTGCTGACCCTATCAATGTATGTTCCTAAGAGAGAATCAAATTTGCTCATGATACTGTATTTTTACATGTGCACAAACTAAAATCACCTGCACTGAGCCCTCTTACATTAATCTATTATCTTAGATGAAAGATATTCAAGGTAAATGGAGTAACAGCTTTCTCTAAAATTCAGTCTATAAGTTACATTTCCTTATAAAAAATAACACATTCAGCTGAGTTATGCCTTTTAAAACTATTTTATATTAATGTCTATAACATAATCCTTATTTTCTGTTACAATCTTGATTCCAAACATTTCATACTGCTCTCAGAGAATGAGCCCTGTGTTGATGATGTACCAAAAATATGGTTTGGAAATCGCAGTTTCTTCAGTTGGACATCATTTATCTCAATCAAAATGTGTCAACTGCAAGACAGACAGAAGCTATTGACATATAAGGGTTTGAAAAGACTCATTATTTTACGAATCTCATTGTGTCCCCTAACCTCACAGAACACACATGACAGAATAAGTTCTTCTGACCTCAGATCCCAACTGCTCATGTCTAGCCCATTTTTGGGAGGTAACTCACCTATCCCTGATGGAGAAAACTGCATAAGAGCTGGGCTCCCTCAGATGCACCCTAACCCTGCCTACCTGCGCATGATGAAATGTTGACAGGACCTAGGGAGTGTTCCTAGGCCTCCCTGTTTTTCTTTTCTTTTTAAGTCAGTAAGCTTTCTGTCTTATACTCTAAGCAATGCAATACAAATACGGATGACGAAAAAACAAAACTTCTCATAGGAGATGATATAATGAGTATCTAATGCTGGGGAGGAACGAGGCAAGCAAGATGAGGTAAAGTTAGTCAGGGACAGCACAGATCTCAATCTCCACGTAAGAGTGGGTATGAGGATCCCGAAGTGCGCTAGCAGGAAGTGCTCCTGAAGAGACACAGTCAAGATGCTGTTCTGGAAGAGTGAGAGGCCATGCAACTTGGAATTAGAAGGAACTCTAGGGTTGTTTTGCTCTGACTTCCTTACAGACAGGGTGGCTACAGTTGTCTGGAGGAGTGAGATTATCACTCTGGAGTTATATGTCCAGCATTTCAACGGACTCAAGAAGCTAAAGGCAAAGAAAGAAAACAGCGCAGTCTCCAAATTCCACCATCCTACATCACGGCGTCACTTTACTGGAGTGGAAACTGTTCTTGGACTGAGATCACCCATTTAAATGTGCTTGGTCATGAATATGGCCTTGCCGTGGGGTTAGCTTGGGCAGTCAAGACACTGACACTGCCTGCGACCCTGGCCACACAGGGCTGACCACACAGTCTGAAATGGAACCAGACACCTCCACACAAATGACCAGAAGTGTTCTGACTCCTCCAAAAATCTCTGAATAGTTTCTTTGTTCAAGTTTTTAAGGAACAGATATGAGTCAGGGTTTTTTCTTATGTATGTGTCTGTGTGTTCCAACTTGAAATACATCATACCAGGAAAAAAACCCAGAATTTCTAGCTCTGAGAAAAAGGGCAGCATTCTAATATGAATGTTAGGTGCCATTCTAATATGAATATCTACCACTGATGTCCTTGCTCAAAAAGCTGCCAATGCTGCTCAGAAGCACAATAATACATCATTTTTAATACTGAAACACAATAATACATCATTTTTAATAGACAAGATTACTACTTGTATAAAGGACCACAGAGCATCAAACAAAAGTGGAATGTGGAAAACCCATACGTGTATAGTGTTTGTTTACAGTGATTCTACATAGCTAATCCTCACATTAACCCCACACAGCAGCCAGAGCAACTTCCATGGTTCTGAAAAGGAAGAACCTATGGACAGAAGGGGAAAGGGGGCAAAGGCCTGGCCATGAACTCACCACACAGGCCACCCTCCTCCTCCTGCAGCACTGCTACACCAGTACTGCAGTGCTAGAGATGTGCACACATCACACTGTGTGTCAGAACACAGTTTAGCTCACTACATAACCAAGCATGGTATAAGATACTCATTAACAATGAGAGATTATCAAAATGACACAGCAACAATTTAATGACATCTTCGAATAAAAAGTGGGAAATCAACCAACATGAACCTTTTTATAAATGAAATCACACAATTCTCTATTTTTAAAACTGTTTCTGACTTAATCAGCTCATCTGTTTTACATTTCTGGTTACATTAGTTAATCCCATCTACATGAGGAGGAAGAAATTGTATCCTAATACAACTCCATGACAACTCCGTAACTTATCCTCTGGGTTTGACAAAGGCAATTTGGAGCACTTCTTATAATTTATGCGGTGTCTCAGAATTCACACTCTTTCTAAAGCTGTCTCTTGTCTTCCTAACATGTCCCATGATTTACAAATTTCAGTGTATAGCAATGTTATGGTATGGATCTGAAATATCCCCCTAAGTGTCTGCGTACTGAACACTTGGTCCCCAGTGGGTGGCAGAACCTTGAGGAGGTTGCTGCACTTGGAGGAAACAGGTCATGGGGAGCCTCTGAAGGGTATATGAGACCCCACCCTTTCTTTCTCCCTGTCCTGTCTGCCCTGATGTTCTGCCCCACCACCACCCTAGAAGCAACAGAGCTAAACAACCATGGACTGAAATCCCTGAAGCCATGAGCCAAAAAAACCTTTCTTCCTTTAACTTTCTTTTCTCAGTATTTTGTCATAGCAATGAAAAGCTGACTAACACATCAATATTTATCTTTTTTTTTTCTGTTCCATACTCTGACCCTCTCAAGTTTTTAAGTGGCCTACTCTCCCTTTTCTTACAGATAATAATTCAAAAATTTTTTCCTGGCCCAGGATTTAGCTCAATGGCACCACACCTGCCTTGCAAGTGCAAGGTCCTGAGTTTGGTCCCTGGTACCAAAAAAAATTTTTTTTTCCCCAAGAGTTACTGAAAACATAAATTTCCTAGTAAGTAGTCCTAAGAATTTTACTGTCTTCAAACATTTCCTCTCATGAGCTAAGAAAAATGCTCACAAAAAGCTTCATATAAATCAGTCACTTTCATCCAGTCACTAAATGAATCATTTGGTCTTAAAAGTCATCTTTTAAGCTTTACAATTATTCCCTAGTATAAGTTATTGATAATATTAGGTAAGTGTGGTGGATTAACTAATGGTTAACTTGAAACACCCAGCTGAACAGAATCAGCGTGGTCTGGGCGTGGAAGATCCACCTGAGGATTGTTGTCAATGGCATAAAAAGAGAACTGGAGGGGAAGATCGGGGGCTGTTGATTTTCTAGGAGAAGCTTGCTGCAGATGGTTTTCCTGATGCGAACTTGGCTGTTCGCATCAGAGGAGGAGCTTGAGGCCTCACTGTCACTGGGAATGGCTGCTGTTCTCGTCAGGGGAGCTCTGGTCTTCACTGTGAGCATCACCTCCTGGCTCCAGCATAGAACCCTCAGCCTGGTGGCACAAATCCTTCACCCCACCAGCACAGGGTTTTTGGCTTCCACTACGGGCCTTTGGGCCTTCCTGGTGCAGATCCTCAATATGGACAAACATGAGTTATTGCCCTGGGCTCTAGGCCTCTGGCTGGGCTCATGGAGGCCTCTGCCTTGGACTCCAGGCCTTCGGCTGGACTTGTGTGGGACACTGCTATGGGATCCAGACCTTTGACTGGATTCTTTGGGTCTCTAGTGTGCGGCTAGATCTCTTGCACTCCTCTGCATTTGACTTTCTGGGTGACCATTATAAAATAATCCTATAAATTATGTGTCCTATATTAAATCTATTCCGTTGCAAAACCCTAACTACAACAGTAAGCTATTTAACTTGAAAATAATGTCAAAATATATTTTTATATGACTAAAAAGGGAAACTGATCCCAGAAACCCAAGACTGTTCTGCACTCCGGCTTCTTCAAATAAAAACCATGTGCTGACTGTTTTCTGCATGAGCGTGGTTCCCAAGTCTGAAGCCTGGAGGCACATGGCAGTGTTCCGTGCAGGCACATCCCTCACCTTTAAGTAGTACACCAGAAGCTCATTCAAAGCAGGGTCGGCGTTCAGATTAACCAGGAAGCACTTATCATCCCCAACTTTGATTCCCGAGGACTGAAGCGATATTCCAAGGCTCTCCAGCTGCTTCTGTCGCTCCTGCAAACATAGCGGAGAAGAGTTAATTCCTGAGCTTCTAAGGCAGCAAGATACCGAGGATCCCACAGGAGAATAATCACTCAGGACTGGGGCTGTGGCTCAGTGGGAGAATGCTGCCTTGCAAGAGAGAGGCCTGGGTTCTATTCCAGCACCACTAAAAAGGAAAAAGATTATTTACTCAAATATATTATCTTCAATATAGCGTTACAGTTATTGCATCTTCTTTCCAAACTATCTAGTTTTACTTTGCTAATTAAAATTTATTTAAAGAATAAACCTCATTACAAATAGTAGGCAAATAAAGTAGTGAGTTCTCAATTTTCATTCTTAAAAATATCAAACATCTTCAATTTAGCTTATTTAATTCTGCATATGTGAGCAATGTGAGTACACTTGACTCAACTACAAACTTTCTAAAAAGCAAAGTTTTAGTCCAGTGTGGTGGCACATGCCTATAATTCCCACACTTAGGAGGCTGAGGCAGGAGGACTGCTGCCAGTTCGAGGCCAGCATGGGCTACATAGTGAGTTCAAGGCCAACCTGACCGGCGTGGTGAGACCCTGTCTCCAACAATAATTAATCAATCAATTAATAAAAAGCAAAGCTTTCACTGCATTCTCCTGCTTGACACCTTCAGCAACCTCCTAGCCAAGATAAAGGCCCTGGCCCCTCAGTCTTCACATTTTGTCACACCAATGTACAACCCTGGCTGGCAGTCACGCAGAACACAGTTCAGGACACTGCAGGGATTTTACATCTCTTCCTTCTGTCTGGAGCAAGCTTGTTCTTTCAGTGACCATCGGTTTACCTGCCCATCTGCCTCACACCAGACTGCACGCTTCACAGGCATAGGTCCTAACTTTACGCACCTACACTGTGCAGGACACGCAGTAAGCACTCAAAATACTAGTGCTGTCACCTCATCAAAGAAACCCTTATGCACCACATTCAAGCCCAGCTTCACAGGAACACGAGCTGTTCTTTCCGCTGTACCTGCTGGCCTCGGAAAGCCATGCCACACAGTGTGAGCACAGAGAGGGTACACAGGACCCTCCCCACAGGAGATTCAGTCTGGTGAATCACAGCAGGGTGGGGTGTCTCTGACTATGGGTAAAGAGCACATGATGAGGTACAGGCACCAAGGATCTGTGATTCTGGAGAAAGATGAGACAGACCAGGCACTGAACCAGGGCCACACATCAGGTCTGCAGCATGATTCAGACAGAATTTCACTCTTCCTAGGGGGTCCTATCACATGGCCACTGCAACCCACCTATGAGTAGTACAATGTTACAAAAGTGGGGAAGGCATGTCTTGGTTCTGGGTCTTTGAATCAAGGGTCTCTCCTAACAAAAAGAACTACATACTCTCCCCATAAATAAGTATAAATGTCAACTGGAAAACTTTTAAAGGTAGAATAAGTTAAAAATAAGTAGCAATTAGTAATCAGCTCATAAAAAGTACAGTAAATCGACTTAGGAACATTCAAGTTGTGAACTTTCATAACTCACTTTGTTGGCTTTGTAAGACTCGCTTTGTTGGCTTACAAATGAATCCAACTTACAGTCAATTCTCCTGGAACGGAACTTGTTCGTAAGTCGGGAACTTACTGTATGTTATGGTAAAATACAATTATGTTTACTGATATAAAAATATCACTTCTGATATCAAGGGTTGGTTAATGATGTTTTTTGGGGTTTTTTTTGCTACCGGGGATCGAACTCAGGACCTTGCACTTTCAAGGCAGGCGCCGGAACCACTGAGCTAAATCCCCAACCCTGGTTAATGATTTTTAAAGTATCAAACACTAAATATTTTATTCTGTGTCTTAATTATTCATTTTTTGCTGTTGAAGTCTCAGATAATACATAAAGGAACATAGCTTTGGGCTAATAAACCTTTATTTACAAATCAAGTGGCCCCCAGACCAGGCACAGCCCACGGGCATTAGCTGCCAGCCTCTGGTCATCTGAATCTTTTGATTTCACAAATGTGAATTTCTTAATGAGAACATAAAAAAATGAAAGCAAGAGACAATTTGGCAGAGTAGAAATGGCACTGGAATTAGAAAATAGTCACTTTGAGTTCTGTTTATTCAAAACCGTTATTAAGTATACTAAAAAAACTAAAAGATATGGTCTTTCTTCTTAAGAATCTTACAAACTCATCAGGAATAAAAGTATACCAACCTTAATTAAACAGCGGTAACGTAGGGCCACTCAGAGAGCTGGCACACTACAGCACCAGGACTCACAAAGGCCTTGGCTAGCCTGCAGCAGCCCCAAATATGATGTGAGAAGTTCTGCAAAAAAGACATCCAGGGCCGGGGATTTAGCTCAGTGGTGCCACACCTACCTGGCAAACACAAGGTCCTGAGTTTGATTCCCAGTACCAAAAAAAAAAAAAAAAAAAAGACATCCAGACATCCAGTAAGCACAGTTTGCCTGGAATTTGCCAAATTTATCTGACCAGAGATTTACCAGTATTTCGTGGCTACACTCCAAATTACATTCTTAAAAATACCAGCCTGGACTGGGGAGAGGTAAATGATCAACAGACCAGGTTTTATCAATGAGAGAAAGGATAAAGCTCAGCAGCACCAAGGCCAAGGGGCTCAGAAGCTGAGGTGCTGAAGGAGGTGTTGGTTAAAATCAGCAGAGCCCTTGCAGCCAGGTGTGGTGGCACAGGCCTATAATCCCAGCACTTGGGAGACTGTGGCAGGAGAATCACTGCGAGTTTGAGGCCAGCCTGAACTTCATAGCAAAGACCTTGTCTCAAGAAAAAAAAACAAACAAACCCCAAAACAAAAAACACATCAACAACAACAACAGCAGAGCCCTCCAAGCTGAGACCTGTGGGCAAAAGAGGAAAAGAGGCCAAGGGTAAGCTCCGACCAACACTGTAATTTTGCTTAGACCAAACTGCTTTGTGTCCATTAGCACAGTGGCCTTCAAAGTCAGTGTTTTGCTCTTAGGGTAACTCAAAAAGGTGTAACAGAACAGTTGCGAACTGTACAATTATTAGAATGACTTTTGATTCATGAAAACTATAAAGTAAGATATGCAGTAGAAAGAATTCATTGGTGTGTTTTCTCTGTAATCTGTGGCCCAGGCCATTAGGAGAGGCCCCTAGGCAGGGACAGAGATGAAATGGGGCTGGCCATATATTGATCTGTAATGAAACCAGGTGCTGGGTACCAGTGCATTTATTATATTCTTCCCTAAGTGAAAATGTCTATAATAAAAATGTCTTTGAAATTAAATTAAATCCTAGTTCACACTAAAGTGACATCCACTTTAGGCTAAGTAAGAGCAGTACCCTCTTCCAACATGTGAAATGTAAAATGATTCTGGACAGCGCATTTAAAGAAATGCACTGGATGATGAAAGATGTTGTGAGTTCTATGAATTCTCTAATCAGAGGAGCAGTTAAAACATAAGATTTTTAACTCAGAAAAGGGCAAGAGGCAGAGAGGCGACTATAAATAGCCAAACAACTGAACTGGATAATAACAGTCCCTATCTTGCGGGGCTGCTGAGAGGATTACATCAAATACTTTAGTTATAAGTGCTTATTAGCAAAGTGCCCAATACAGAAGCCTATCCAACAAGTCCTGGCTTACTGTCATGAGTCACTACCGACAGGTAGGACACTTACTCTCTTAGCTGTAGAGCAACAAAGGAGGGCAGAGGAGTAAGACAGAAGAACAAAAGATTTCAATTAAACAGTGCCATTAAAGTTGTCCAGTCTGAAGAAGGGTGCTAGCCAGGGTCCTGAGCTCTGCATCTCCATATGTATTTCTAAATCAGAGGGATAGGACCACGTAGCAGGGAAGCCAGAGTCTCTTTCTAAGAAGAAAGACTTCTCAGCACTTTTCCTCAATGCTATACTTGACTTGATGTTCTTAAACTAATGCTCATGTTCCCAACTGAAGAGCTTACAACTATCTCTATTTTAGGTTTTCAATAATGAGTCACCACAGATTTAGGAATTTCATATTATTTTCACTTAAGTTGTCATGAAGGGTAAAAGCTCATAATCAACTATCTACTACCAACTATCTACTACTATTAATTCTGTAATTTCAGTAAGTTCTTGAGGTCTACAAGGTACTTAAAAGAATGAAGTATTCAAAACCTGAAGCTGTAAATAGCTATTTCGTTTTTTTAAAAGTTATTATTAACTGATATTTAAACACTGATTACTTCATACATAACAAACTATTGCAATTATCCCTTCTTTAACCTTCAAATTATTTTTATAACATTTAGACTCTTTTGGCTCTGAGTTCCTATTCACGGTGTGAGATTTGCCAACAGCAAAGATGTAAATCCAAAAGGAACCAGAGAAACCCCGCCTCTGGACCACTCAGAAAACACAAACCTGGGCAATCTCTTCTGTTTTTCTTAATTTTTCCTCCCAGGTCACAGTCATTTCCTGGATTAGCTTCTCAGATTCTTCCAGCCGGTCTTTTAGCTCTGGAGATTTCATTGCCTATAAGCAAAATGTTTACGTCATGAAAGGTCTGGACGATGCCCTGGAAGAACAATCAGCCGACTCTCAAAGGACAAAGGTGGCCTCTGCCTCCTCTCAGAGCTGTGGCACAAAACACTGAGCCAACACTGACCCTGGCACCTGGACACTGTGAGGACCAAACCACCAGCTCACCCAACATACATTCGGGCGGGGGGGGGAGGGCAGTACCAAGAATGGAACTCAGGACCTTGTGCTTGCCAGGCAGGCGCATTGCCACTGAGCTACATCCTCAGCCCTCCACAATGTACACTTTGAAGGAAGACTTAACTTCTCCCTTTCCTCCATCCTCATTACAGATCTCATTATATATAAGGCGGTAAACATACAGCCATTAGGGGTTGTTATTCTAAATTCCAGTATGTTATATATCTAGGTTCACACACATGATATATTTTAGTCTCTACTGATGACTTCAGAAATTTATTTAAGAACACACAGAATAAATATGTGCATGTTGCAACCCGGTGTTATTAATACCAGGAAGACAGAGACAAAATTCCAAAGAGCCTTCATGAATTGTAAAATGACTTCTGAAAAAAAAAAAGAGGACAAAAGTTCAACAGGCAAAACCATGATCAAAGTAACTATTCCAACTATATGTTTTACTGGTTTGTGACCCAAAAATGGGTTAGACAAAGAGAGGGCTTTGGGGCCAGCTCCAGGAAGACGTCCCACAGTGCTAGGTGGCTGTTGGACGGAAACACCACAGGAGCAACCTGGTCTGATATTTCCCCACTTGGACAAGAGGAAGAGCACTTACTTGGTTGTAGGATACAATTGCATAGGTTTTCAAATCCAGTAATGGAACATAAACACCCCCCGCCCCGGTATAGAATACACAGAAGACAGGTGAAGCAGTGCCACTATATAAAGTATTTGGGTACTTCAGTTATAACATAGTTAATTGTTCTACAAACAATATTAGCCCACAATATGGAATTACTAATACGGATAATTATTAATATGATTAAATCGAGGAACACCTCTGTTCTGACTATTTCTAGTTAACAAATGAGATTGATTCCTCTTTCAATGACTCCATGCCCAATCTCATTTTCTACACAAAAATTAAATGACGTACACTTTCTTTCCCTCACCCTCTCTTCCCCTCCCTGTTCTGTTCTGCCTTTTCTCACGTCTGCTGCCCAGATGGGAATAGAAAGGAACACTGTCTCAATTCCCTTTATTCTTCTGTATAATCTTTTTTAATCTGTCCAAATCTCTTTAAATTTCAAGTGTGACAATCTTCTTTTATTTATACTCAGATCAAATTTCTCTTCCCATGGGATGCAAAGATTGTCAGGAGTGTTTTCCTCACTTGAGGCCAAGGAGAGGACAATTCAAGCCCCGGCTTCCGGAGGCTGCGCAGGCCTCATACCTCGGCCTTGGTCAGCTGCTCCCGGAGCTTCTCGACCTCCTCGCGGAGATCCCGGATGATCCGGGCATTGGGATCCTCATTCACCACAGCGTGGTTGACGATGTGCTTGGCTCGATCTGCGTAGCGCAGAGTGGAGAGGGTTTCGTCGTAGTTGTCAGCTGCGGGACTCACTGTAGCCACCATGGCCGTCTTGCTGTTACCCCCTAGACTGTCCTGCCAGGAGGGAGAGAAGTAAGCAGGCTAACAGTCTAAAGTTGGAAGACACCGATGCCAAGGCCAACCACATACTTAATGGCAAAGCGGGGGCTCATGTGCAGGGACACCAACTCCAGCCCAGGCCATTTCTTCTCCCCCAAGCTACCTTTCTGAAAAGGGGAACTCTGTTTTCAGAAAGGACGAGAAAAGCTAGTGAAGCTTACACTGACTTCAGTTTGATAAAAATTAATTCTAACCTGGGTGCAATACAACCCTATAATCCCAACCACTTGGGAGGCTCAGGCAGGCCAGCGGCAAGTTCAAAGCTAGCTGAGAAATTTATCAAGATCCTGTTTCAAAAAGAAAAAAAGAGCTGGGGGTGTAGTTTTGTTGTACAGCACTTGCTCAGCATGCATGAGGCCCCAGGTTCAAGGCCCAGTACCATTAAAAATGGATAATTAATTAGTTCTAAATCGACTTATCCCATTGAACAGGAAGCTTGATACGCTAATGAGCAGACTACCCAGAAAGAACTTCCAAATGCCTACAAAGCTTCCCTTAGAGAAGTCCAATAAACACAGTATTATGGCCCTCTGATCGAGGGGTGCCCACAGTGTCCCTCCACATACCATGTACCTGCTGGCACTGTCTCCTAAGATCCTGTCATGCTGAAGACACAGGCACAATCACAGCCTCCCAAGACAAAAGGCACACTGCAGGGACTTCATCTCTTCCCTCTGACAGTGCCACTAGTAGTCTGGGAGGAACTACTAACCCAGGTTCTGTGGGCTACCCCAGTGGTCCCCACCCTTTTTGGTGCCAGGGACTGGATTCCCGGAAGACCATTTCTCCAGAGCCTGGGGTGGGGAGTGTGCAGCTGAGATTCCCTCCCATGTGGGGCTCACAGCAGGGTTCAAGCTCCTCTGAGAGTCTAACGCCCCACTGACCTGACCAGAGGCAGAGCCCAGACCAGGATGCCAGTCATGGGGAGCAGCAAATGCAAAAGAAGCTTCGCTCCCACATCCTGAGCCAGTCACTCGTCTCCTGCCGTGCAGCCTGATCGGCACAGATCGGTAGTGGTCCAGGGTCCAGGGGTTGGAGACACCTCGTCTACACAATGGCTTTCACAGTTCAGACAAGGCCACTAAGACAAACTACTCTTTTCTTGGGGAAGTAGGCTTTGGCACTGGCTTCCAATAAAACAAAAAAACTACTTCCACTTAAGAAGAAAAAAATACTGAGATGTGACGCTGGAGTATAGCTCAGTGGTAGAGCACTTGTTCAGCATGAACAAGTCCTTGGGTTTAGTCAAGGATGAAATGAAGGGCGAGAGGGAAAAGGGGAGGGAGAGAGGCACACTGGTCAAAAGAGGGGGAAAAGACACAGCTCAGAATTCAAACTGGACTTGGGACATCAGCACACTCCATTCCTGACCACACAGCGGGGGCTGACTGGGACCCATCTGTTGCAGGCAGCTGTAAGATGCCAGCCCCAGCTGCCCCTGCCTCCTGGGATTCGTAACTGGGCATTGTTCCCTTGCCATCAGTGTGGCCAGCCCTTACTGACCGGCCTCTAATGACAAGAATACAGTGGAGGCCATGGCACGTCCCTTCTGAGATTCCATTAAAATGAGATAGTAGTTTCTGCGTTGAGCGTTGTCTCTGCTCTGGAGGAAACCAGCTGTCATGAGGTGAGGTGGCCCTATGAGGACACCCACAGGAGTGGGTTTGGAAGCAGACCTGAGCCTGCCCACAACTGTGTCAGCAAGCAGACATTCCCTGCCAGGTCAAGGCCTGAGATGCCCGCAGCCCCTGCTGACTCTAGACTGCAGCCACCTGAAACCCCAGCCAGACCACTTAGTTCAGCTGACTTAGGAACTGCAAGAAGATAAATGATTGTTATTCCCTGCTACTAAGTTTGTGAGAAATGTGTTACAGAGCATAAGAGAGAAATACTTATACACTAATATACTGCCCCAGGCTGACAAGAATTATAGAGATGGACGGAGGGGGGGGGGGGGACAAGAGGAGGAAGAGGAGGAGGAGGAGGAGGAGGAAGAAGAAAAGGAGGAAAGGAAGAAAGGACCCTCTTTAAGTGACAGAATGGCACTGAATAATAGATTCTCGAGTTTAAGGAAAAAAGGCAGGCGTGATGGCACATACTTATGAACCCAGAACTCAGGAGGCTGAGGCAGAAGGACTGCCACAAGTTGGAAGCCAGTCTTGGCTACATAGTGACTTCAAGCCCACCCTTGAGAGTGAGAACCTGTCTCCAAAGCAAACAAACAAAAAAGATTTTTAAAAAGATTAAGAAAAAAATGCCTGAGGCCAGTAATAGGTAATTCATTAGATGATAAAAAAGCTAACTACTTTTGGGCACATTAACCTATTAAAAAAATTCTTACTTTTGAAGATATAAAAGTCATTCCAATTTCAATTTATGTAAAATGCGCTATAGCAATCTGATTTACACAATCTCTGGGCAGTTTACTTAGCTTTTGCGAACTCAATTAGTATTCCATTTTGTCAATGAGAGAACAGGTTTGTTCTGACAAAGAGGTTAAATAAGCTGCCTAAAAATTAGAACTGGTAAACTGAGTAATGATCTATAGCCTACTTGTATTCTGCCTTTAATTCCGTTACCATTTCCACTCCTCCACAACTACCCAAAGTACACGTGTGGCAACACAAAGTTTAGACCTGAGGAAAAAGATGACCCTATACCATTCCAAATTAATTTGTCCTAGTGTCAGAAATATTAGGTATTACTGACAGTTCTACATAACCACAGACAATGTCTGCTTACTCAACCATTACTGAAATTTTAATCTTCTTTAGAAAACAATCATATCGTAGAAAATATACGTTGATATATAAAAAAAACAGGAAATATAACTAATGTGGACTTTAGGAAGTAAAAGCCATGATTGCTCATTTCATTCTTCCACTTCCAGACAGTGATCTCACAATCCTGATGCCCCAGATTTGGCAACTTCAAGAAAAATGTCATCCTGAGTCCTGTACATACTAAGGAGATTCAGATGTGATGGAAAAAGATCACATGGATTAAATCTCAGATTGCAATTCGGTTCCCCAGGAGCACCAATGCCTACTGCAAACTGCCAGGCCACATGAAGAGCAAAACAGAATGGGTAAAGAAGATTTCTAACAGCAACTACCAAAGGAAAATAATGTGTATCATGCTGCAGTTTATGCTGAGAAAAGGAAGCCTGGCAAACAGCAAATGCTTGATATTTGAAAAGCCCTTGTTCATGGGGCAACAACATGCTTATATTTAAAAATGGCCTTGTTAGGGCTGGGGATTTAGCTCAGTGGTTCCGCTGCCTGCTCTGCAAGTGCAAGGACCCGAGTTCGATCCTTGGTACCCCCCCAAAAAAAGGCCTTGTGCTATTAGCAAAAAGGGAATAGCAACAAAAGAACTGGCACTCATTCAAGGAGAAAGTATAAAGCTTCTTGCTTACTCTTTAATTGTTTAATTAGGCAAATCAGATGAGTTTTGTTTCAAATGTAGCAACTGCAAATTAAATGGACACGGAAGAGAAATTTAATTTGGGGAGTCAGAATTTTTTAAGGCTGAACTCTGAAGTCATCAAATCAAGTTACTTCATTTTACAGATGAAAAATTGAGACCCAGGAAGAGCGGCAGACATGAAATTCACAAAGCCAGTTCAGAGCAGAGCTGGTTGCTCGTTACTCAGCTCTTCAAGAAGGTTACCATCTAACAGAAGAGCCAAGTACTCTCTGAAAAGAATGAAAATAGGGCTAAAAACAATAGAATGGGGAGAACAAAGAACTCTGAGGTTAGGGAGATTCCCAGAGAAGGTGGCCTTTGAAATCTACAGGTGAACAAGCACTATGCAGGGGAGGAAGGCGGGAGGGGACTGAAGATGGGGAAAGAATGCTCCAACCAGAAGGGAGCCCTAGAAGTCGCACAGCTCTCTTCACTTAGCCAGAACTTACAACACTAGGAAGCAAAAGAGGCACAATTAGAAGCAAGGAGGGTCAGGCTATGAAGGGCCTTGTAAGTCACGTGCAGTTAAAGAATTTGAACTTGATCCTTAGGGCCTGGGGACAGTTACTATAGAGATTTAAGGGTAAAAGGATTAATTTAGAAAGATCTTACAACCTAACTACGGATTAGACTAAGAAAGCTGGAGGGAAATGTTTGTCCTCCAGGCAAGAGATCAAAGTGGCCTCCATTACGGCACTGGCAGTAAGAATGAAAAAAGGGGGTGAACTGGAAAGGTACCCTGGAAGGATGCAAACATCAAGAGCACAACACAATCACTATGAAAATACAATGTGAAAACTGTAAAAGAAATAGCAAATTATCATCTTTTAATGAGCAATTTTATGAGTTCAATGGAAGTTACCCTGGGGAATATGAGAATCCCATATGTGCTATATAAGAACCAGGGAAAGTTGGACCAATAATTAGAGAAGGAAAAAGCAATAGGGACCTGAAAGCTCTGGAATCCTTTTGTAAAAGTGTCCCAATTTATGATCTTAGTGCAAAAATAAAACATGATCTTAAGAACGTCACAGTAGAACTTGAGGAAAAAATTAACAACAAAAATCAAACACTTGACTTATTTTTTAACTGGAGGCTTAAAACATAAAAATTCCAATTATAACTTAACTTACACAGAAAAAGTAAACTTTTGGGGAAAAAACAAAAAATGAACTTTTTAAAGGATTTTTTTTTGTTCCGTTCTTAAAGTAATACAAACACTTTTTCTTCATTATATCCTATCAAACACTGGTAAAGTCAAGAGCATCTCCTGATAGGCGGAGAGCAAACTCACCCTGGACTCTAAGCTTGGCCCTGCCACCTGCGAGTTTGCATTCTGTGCTCATTTAACAAATGAGAAAACTACCATTCACCTGAGAAGTCAATGAAATGCTTCCAGACAGGAGCCCTTGGCAGGTGCCTGATTCTGCTCAGACAGGTTCACCCAGCACCCAGCTCAGGGAGTGGCCATTCAATGACTACCTAGGTCATTAATAATCACCACCAAAACTAACAAAAGAGAGTCCCTATTGTTTTCAATAAACAGAAGTAGCAACAGCGCAACATGGATAATGCATATTCTCTCTTTCAAACCAGGCAGATCAAAGGAATAGTCATGTTTGATCAGGAAATGTTTCTGTAGATAATCTGAGATTTCTTCTGGAAAAAAAGTGAGATGATGAGGTTAATGACCAACACATTCCTTGGGAGTAAAATGATTGTGATATCCACTTGCAAATGGTTCTTAATGATCAAAACTTATTTATCTTTTTGTCTTAAATTTTTAATTTTATTGCATTCTGTCCAAAGGAAGTAACCTACCTGATTTTCTACCCTGGCAAATTTATCCAGTTGTAGCATAATCTTTAAGCAGAACCTACTGATATTTATGTAAAGAAAGGTTTCACCTGACAAAGCACATTGAAATGGTGTGCAGGGTTTCAGATTAAGAAGCTGAATACTAGAATTCTTTGGGACAGTGTAGAACCCAGGAAAAGAATCTGCTTCCTTTGACAAAGGCTGTTCCCTCAACATGTAGACTTGGGCAATAGCCACGCCCTTGACTTGTTCACCCATTTTAGTCTCTACCCCTAACACAGTGAGCAACAGGGGTTCAGTAAATTCTTATCAATGAGAAAATGAGCCATCACAGAACAAAATAGGACACATAAAATAATTTCTCTATTTTAAAAAGCAGAAAAAAAGAGTATTAGACAAGTGAAAGATTTTGTTCAATGCTGACAGCTATATAAATTGTCATTAGAACTTCTATCCCCTAACCCAGCTGATGTCCACTTCACTGCACCACCTCTTTGAAGACTAAGGGAAGCTGGGGGAAGCCTGGAGATAGTCTCACTTTTTGTCACCGAGCCCTGATTCCACAGAAGTGCCCTCTCTGTTGCCGGGTAAGTCACCAGCTCATTCTGTAATATTCTGTGAGTCCAGCTCATCTCCGTTCCTAGACCGTGAGCCACTGAGGCTGAGGAGTGGCTGCATTTCCTTGCACTCTCCTGTGGGAGTGACTTTCTCATTTCCATCTCTCCCATGCATACTGATGAATTAATCAGTGAATGTGTGCCTACTTCATATCCGTCAGCAACACCTCTAAGAAGGTGAAAGTCAATTAAATGGTCATGGGCAAAATTAAACAGGAGACAAAGACCAAACTATCAAACAAAGGATCTGTGGGACAGAGGGAGCAGCCCAGCAGTGTATCAGGGAATGCATACCCCTCCTCTGTGACTCACCCAGCTGCCACGTTACCCCTGTCCCTTCTCCTCCTTCCCCTGATCTCCAGGAGCAACTGTGTGACTCAACTGTGGCCAGCAGCCCCCTTGCCTGCAGGCTCTGTAGGACACGACGGTAATATCAGGAAGAAACCTGTGCACGCTCAGTCCATGAAAATTATGATGGTCACAGCAGCCTAATAATTATAAACTGGAACACTGAGGGAGGAAGTTATGACCAGAAAGGATTAACAGTTTACTCATTACTCTTTTGTTTTGCCAACCACCAAAGGTAAGTCAGAAAAGAAAGGAAAAAACTTACTTTGAGCAGCCACGTGAGAACTGAGTCACGGTATGGAACAAATTTATTTTTGTTTCTGCCAGCACCCTGATCTGCTAAGGCTGAGATAACCAGACCGAGGGTTGTGAGAGACCTGCATGGTGCAACAAACCATAATATTACAAAAACTGGAGTATATCAAATGTCACGTTTTAGCACAATGATGGAACACCCTTAGACGTGCCTGGGAGCACCACTGCGCTCAGCAATTTGTAGCTCAGTCTAAAAACACAAACTCGAAAGACCTGCTGTCCCTCTTAACACTAGGTCAAGCAATAAAAATGCTTAGCCCAGTTTTGTTATTTGTAGATAAAAACGTGAGCTGAAAAATTCAAGTCAAAATATTGAAACAAACACTATATATATATCTATCTATCTATCTTCAAGAAGGAAGCCCCAAGGCAGTATGATAATTAAAACCTAGGACAAGCAAAATTTACATCTGTATGATTCGGTAACAGAGCAGCACCTGGGTGAGGGGTCCTACTATCTCTAGTTGGCTACTAATGACTTGGTGCACATCCTCATGGGACCCTGAAGACAGATAAGCTCAAGCCCACAGGAAACTGCCAGTCTAGCTTGAGGGAGAAAAAAAATGAATGGACCTGGTGAACAAAGTATTACTTCTTAAAGTCCCAGCTTCTTGAACGTGGACAAAAACAGTAGTCATGAAAGGGCCAGCCCAGTGTGGCTGGTACACAGTATCTTAGACAGCATCACAGGTCACAATCACCAGCTGGCCTCTGAGAGACCAACTGTCATCCTTTTCTATCCTTGGACCAGTGGTTCTCACAGCTGGAGGGGAGCGGACCCCAGGGGGAACTGCAGTGTGGGGTACTACCGCCATCTAGTGGGCAGATGTCAGCGATGCTGCTAACACCCTACAATGTGCAGGACACCCCTAGCCCAGGATGGAGAATCACGGGACCCGAAAGTCAATAGGGCCATTGTTGAGGAAGCCTGACTTGACCGAGGCTGTGCTCCTTAGCCCCATCAGACAGCTCCACAGGGCGTAACAAGAGCCCAGGCCCATGGAAAATACAAAGCAAATCCAAACTATATACATCACAGCCTTAATGGGTCCAGAATCACCTTATGTTAATAACCACAGATCTGCCCCTATTTGACCATTAGCTCAACAAGCAGGAGATTAAGCTTCAGAAAACCTACTTGTTAATGTTGCTGCCCTCCTTCAGCCTGTCGCCAGCAGCTCCAGTTTTTGTTGCTCGTTCACTGCCAGCTAAATCAACCAAGCTCAGTTTGCCCACTTTCTCCCCAGATGTCTGTGAAGCAAATTGATACATACTAATAAGCACTCAGACAATGCTGAAGGCAGGCTGTCACAAATGAATGGGTTCATTATCGAAATCCTCTATTAATCCGCTCTTATTACAAAATTATTTTTTTGCTGCTGTAGAACACTGTAAGAAAACTATACAATCTCTCAGTGATACAATAGCCCTCTACTCATACAGACAGAGTGATAGTTATCTCAGAAAAATAGTGCCCTCAAAATAAAGACATTCGGAAGGAACCCCAATAAATATTTTCAGAGAAGAGCCAGGCATGGTAGCATACACCTTAACCACAGCTACTTGGGAAGCTGAGGTAGGAGACAGCAAGTTCCAAACCAACCTGGGAAACTTGGTGAGACCCTGTCTCAAAATAAAATAATAAAAAGGGATGGGGATGTAGTTCAGTTCTCCCTGGGTTCAACATTCAGTATTGCAAAGAAAAAAAAGTCTAGCCTTGTTGCTTTTGCTGTCTTCTGTCACCATGAACTGTTGTCCCTCTACCATGCCACCCTGCATTGGAGCCAGCTGATTACAGACTGAAACCTCTATAAACTGTGAGCTAAATGAACTCTTTCCCCCTTAAAAAAAGAAAAAAAGACTACAAAAGTACTTATATGAATGTTAATATGATTTGAAAGTATGCTTAAATTATTGTATTTTCCAGTAATCTTTTTTGGGGAGACAGGGTCTTGCTTTGTAGTCTAGGCTGGCCTTAAATTCACTATGTAGCCCAGGCTGGTCTTGAAATTTCAGCAATCCTCCTGCCTCTGCCTCCTAAGTGCTGGGATTACAAGTGTGCACCACCATGCCCAGTTTACCAGTAATCCTGAGGTAAATACTAGTATTCTTACTGATATAAAAAACATTAAACTGATTTTTATACAATCAAAGAAACCCTCAAAAATTTAAAACACTTTGTAAAGTTTTTCATTTTATTCATATATAGTATAGTAATTCCCCTTTCTTTTATAATTTCAAGTATAGGTTTATACTAGTTTTAGTTAGGATACTTTAAATAGATACACAGTGCTGTCAAATTACAAACATGAAATATATATTTTATATATACTCAGCAGAAAAACAACAAATAGAGGAGAAACCCAGTAACAAAATGTATACACTGGATCATCTTTTAAACTTCCTTTAAAATATACATCTATATTTATTTCCATAAAATGAACATGTCACTAACAAAAGGATATTCAAAAAGTAATTTTGGCTTAAAAAATGTCTTCAGTATGTTTTTTGTTTTATGCTGAAAAGGAAACAGAAAACAAAGAGCTTTTTGTTGTTACATTAATCTTGCTGTGATGGTTTTAAAAAAAGAAAAATAGGCTTTCAGAAAACGAAAATCCTGCCAAAATACAGCACTTTGCCAGGATGATTATTTCAGCTTCTGGGGTTTGAAACCGATGCATGAGGAGTGGGCATCCCAACAAAATATGCAACACTTCCCATGAACAGAGAGAAATGGAAATGCACAAGTCAACAAAGAAGTCCTAAATGTGACACAGGCATTAACATCTCTGAATCTTCAGTTTAATCTTCACCAGCTTCCAAACCAAATACTCAAAAAATTATTCTACCCAGCCAGGCGTGATGGCACAAGCCTGTAATCCCAGTGCTCAGGAGGCTGAGGCAGGAGGATTGCCCTGAGTTCGAGGCCAGCCAGCCGGAGCTACATAGTGAGTTCAGGGCCAGTCTGAACTACAAAGGGAGACCCTGCCTCAAAAAAAAAAGTTATTCTACTCAATCCAGTAATTTTATAGTACAATTCCCCCGGTGCAAGTTATTCTTTTAATCCTGGCTGTTTAGCAGAAGAACCTCCACTAAATCAGCCAGAGCATTAACGTGCACTCAGTCAGCTGGCAGAGTCTAACCCCGAAGGCTGCTGTGGCTGGGACTGCGGGTCATCAGCTGCATGACTTCAGTTCCCCCTTCCTCTAGGTGGTGAGGGTAGGAGCTAAAACCCAAGTCTCTAGACCAGCCTCCCTTTCGGGCAGGGCCTGGGAAGGGCACAAGTTCTGCCATCAGATCCTTTGCTGAAGACCTGGACACAGAGATGAATGACCCTTTTCGGCTTTCCATGCTGGCAGGCAGGACCATGGCAAGATGGTCTCCCAGAAGTTTCCCTGCACATGTGCCAGCCTCCCATATGCGAAGTCACAGCCTTACTGACTGAGCTACTTCTTTACTCCCAATTTCTGATCATCACAGTTATGGGGTGCACCTTGAACCCACTGCTCTAGGATGTCCTCAGAGATGGCACCATTCTGAGGGACCAGATCCGTGCGGTTCTGGGAATCATTCCTAGGGACTCTGTCCACAATATCCTCCTCCTCAGGTGTTCTGACAACTCTCTAATCACCTAATATTCTACATTACTGAATCACATTAAATCCCTTTCTGCTCACTAAAGTGGCTGCTGCTTCTTGTCTAGAGTCCTAACTGATAGGTAAGTCTGGCTGTGACTTGAATTCATCTAACATCTCATGAGAACAACATAAACCATGATCACCTCAGAAAGGAAAAGAGGTCATGCATATGCACACCTACCCCAGACTCCACGTCATAGAGTGTGTGTGTGAGGGTGATTTTGAAGACCGCGTGGGATCGGCTACTCTCCTCGTTCATGTTGGTTGCCGCAACTGTCCGGGATTTGTTACCCTCAGACATCAAAGACTCTATATCCTAAGTGGAAACAAGTCACAGACACACATCTCATTATCTGTGTAATAAACATTAAAACTCAGCTGTACTGTGAAATATACTACAACCTTTACTAGTCAACAACATTTGCAGTTAATATCTTATTTTTCAATAAACATTAAGCCCACAGAATACAAGAGCTGACCCTGTCTCTACAACTAAACTCAGGTAATATTTTCTGTAGGTACAGAAGAAAGTGGCAGCTTTGACTCAGGGAAGTTCAGAAGCTACATTATTGAGTCACACAAGATGGGCAAATATTCCATGCCAATACTCATCTACTTCAGAAATTTGAAAAATCTGTCTCTTTATAAGAGCACTACAAGTTTATTGCTAAAAACAAATCAAATTATAAAAATAAGAAAAAAAAAATAACTTGTAAGCCCTCACCCAAGCATATTACTACTACCTGCCACCACATCTTAGCAGACATGTGCTTAAAAATGAAAACATCAAGAGACTAATTTTCTGTACAAATTTTCTAGTTAGTTGCTATTACAGTTAAAAAAAAAAAAAAGAGAGAGAGACAGCATTATATAACAGATCATGGAATTTTCATTTTTAAAAAGCTCTAAAAATGGTTATTTAATCAATGTGAATGTCAGTTTCATTATTAACAACCAGAATCCACAAAATCATCTACCTGGGCTGTGGGTGTAGCTCAGTGATACAGTGCTTGCTTAGCATGTGCAAGGCCCTGGGTTAAATCCCCAGCACCACAAAAATAAACAAATAAATAAGTAAATAAAATAATCTACCATATAAGGATTTTCAGGAGGAACAAGAAACATGGTTATATATGAAATGGATGTGTAGATGCCTACTATCATCCAGTCTTTTCTTCCCCATAACAGAACCCTATCTTTGACTGAGCATATTGTGGCAGAGCTAAGACACTACATTTCCCAGATATGCTTTCAGTACAAGCTTGGCCACATGACTAAATTTGAGCACATGGTACAATACAGATCACCTGGTCCATTTTCCTTAAAGGGAGTAGGTTTGTGATCACATTTTGGTTGTAAGAGGCATCTTGAAATATGAGAACACTGTCATCTCTCTGTGGAGTGGGAAAGGAATCTAAGTCCCTAATGACATCTTGGAGCCACCACACCAGTCCTAGAGCAGTTTCCTCTAGACATCCTACATGAAAAGTCTTGTTTAATTCACCATTCTTTTATTCATTCACTCAAATGTGGAGAGCGTGTATCACATTCCAGGTACTTTCTAGACACTGAAGATACACAATGAACAGGTAATATTCATACTTCAAAAATCCTAATCCTATTTTTATATTATATGCAGCTAACCATAATCCCAAAATGATACACATACGTGAAAAACTATGAAAATCACAAGATTCTAAGTGAAAAAGAATAGTGTTTAAGGAAAGTTCAACATGATAAATAAAAGGCCTCAAAAACATTTAACTGAAAAGAAGGAGAGAAAAATGTGAGAAAGAACCAGAACAGAAAAGCAACAAAAGAAAAGTTCAGTTTTCTAGATCTATTCCATCCATTTTAGATCCATGAAGTCTGACAATCCTGAAGCTTAATCTGTAAGCTTCATCACATTTAGCTCACTTTAACTCACTGGTCTCAGACTCTATCTCATTTTAAAGATTTCTTTGTAAACAGGGATTTGACACTATAATTAATTTAATTTTTTTTTTTAAATCAAACAAAAAACTGCACAAAAGTTAGTTCACAGAAAGGACATTGTTACCTTGTAGCTTGTGACAGCCAGTTTAGAAAGTCCATCCACATAGGGTCCCAACACACTATGCTCTCTGACTTTCAGTGTCTGGCGGCTTCTGTTCATGAGAAACAAAACAAGTTGTTAACAATGATCTGTTTTTAAAGGACTCAATTGTGCTTCATGGAAATATATATTTAATTAAAGAAAGACCCCAAATAAATAAAACCAACTGACTTGATCCCTGAAGAATTTAAACCAAACTTTCAAAACTTCACTGGAAAGAAAAACTCCATAATGTGGTAAAATATCACATCACTCAAAAGGGTAAACTGTGGGATGCCTATTTACTACCATAAAGAATGCAGACTCAAATAATATGAACAGTCTACTTGTCATATCACAGATTGTGGCACAAAGATGGAAATTCAATAAATGTTAGCTGTGAAGAAAGGAAAATTACAGACTCAGCTCAATCCCAAAGAAAAAGAAACAAAGTCAGCAAAATGAATCGAATAATGGTTTAAAAACACAACACTGGGCTTATCCCAGGGTAGCAAGGTTGTTTTAACCTCGGGGGTGAAAATCCACAGACTTTATCACACTGATGGACTACAAGAAGGGGATAAATGGCCATTTCAACAAATGTGTGAAAAAGGATTCAATAAAATGAACATTAACTCATAGCTTTTTAAAAATGAAAGATTTTTTAATTTTTTTTTTAAATTAGAAAAAAGGAACCAATAAACCCAGTGAAGAGCATTTGCCAAAAACCCAGATTACATTGCACATTTAATGCTATAAGCCAAGAAATATTATGTATTTGTTGAGATGTTTGTTGAAGGGTACGAAGCTTCAAAGGTCCAAAATGGCAGGTATGTAAGGCAATGGATGCATTAATTAGCTTACCACTCCACAGCGGCACATATATCAAAGCATCACACTGTGCTCACAGATAGATGCATTTTTTTCAATTAAAAGTAAAATTTTTAAAAAGGAATAATTGGGGATAGTGAGATTTCAGGTGACTCCTACTTTATGATCTTTTGGTTATCCACCCTTCCTACCATGTGTATTCGTTTCAACTACAGAATACTGCCTTTTAAAAATAAGTAATGAATCAGAATGTTTAAAATTCTAAGGCAGTTCTTTGATGTCTGAGAAATCAGGTCCCCATTCTTGGGCTCAATATATATGCTCCTTTATAATCTGCTCCTAATTTCTCCTAATCCTTGTGGTATTAGTTTAGGTATATCTATTCTTTAGTGGACCTTGAGCTCTCGAAGAAAAGAATAATGTCTTACTAGTTTGGGGGTCTGCAATTCCCAGCACAGCTCCTGGCACACAGGAGTCCATCAGGGAATAAATAAACTTGGCTTAAAAAAGTGAAAATAAGAAAAGGTAACAAAGAGGACTCCAATGTGTTGGCGTACATGATTTGGAGACAGAATGCTAGTAACAAAGTAAGACATGAGGAGAAAGGGAAGAAAGGTTTGAAGAATATATACCACGAACAACCAGCACAGAAACTGTTACCCATGATAAAGAAAGCAAGCAGAAGCACTGACGTGACACAGTGAATAGATACAGATGAAACCTTCATGTAGGCAGCACAGTGACAGGAGGAAATGGCTCAAATCTAAAATGTTATTATCCTCCAGTATGATGACTATAACTTAATATTTTCTAAGGATTTGGAACTTTCTAGTGTCCTGAGATCAACTAATGATGTCACCTACTGGTAGACTAGTACAGATGAAGTCAGATAATCACTTATTATATGACTGCAGAGGAAGTAGATATAAAACAAAATTTGATTCAATTCTCGCTGCAGGATATATTCTAACTTTTAATTTTTTCCCTTTTTTCTTAAAGATATATTATGTCCTGAGTAAAGAAACATAATTACATTACTACACACAGTGGACGCTGAATTTTAAAAAAGTACTTAAAAAAAAGAAGTTCTCTTAGTGTTTGGTTGACATGGGAACACCTCCGAAGCTTTTGGTTTTTTGATCCATTTACTCTGACTTTAGAAACACTAACAGAAAAAAGAAAGAAAAGAAAAGAAAACCCCAAAGAAACTTTCAGGGGAGAAATAACAGCAGCTACCACATAGAGAGGCTGGCTGTGTGCCAGGAAGCGGCCCGCGACCTCAAGTGTGTCATCCGGTCTGTCCTTGTGCTCCTCTGGGATACCAGGTTTCAGCATCATTTCCTGTAAAAGCCAGGCCCGGAGAGTGAAAGGCAACTCCTCCACGGTAACAAGGAGAGGACCACAGCTATGTGAACATAAAGTCCATGCTGATCAGACCTAAGCTATACACAGGAAGCATAAGAAATCACTAAAGACTATGAACAAGTCTGACTAGTAAAGCTCAAGCCACTCCACACAGCACCGCGGAATGCAAACCCAAGAATGTGCGGCACAAAGACACTCTGCTGAAATTTCTAGAAAGAGTGGGTCTGAGCTGATCTCAGAGGAAGTGATCATCTCACAGAGTGAAGGTGCAGGAAGAGTAGTCAAGGCAGAGGAGAACGTGTAGAACAAAATGTGGGCACCTGGCTGCAACCTCTTACCTCTGACCGCCTCCTGACCCATCTCACTCCCCCCACGCCACCCTCAACCATGCTGAACAGCTGGACATCCTCAAACAGGTGACCTCTTAACACCTGCATGAATGGCTATCACCTAACTTCTAACTGGATGAACTCCTAGTCAGTGGAAAACATCCATCGCTTACCCGTGTGGAATCATCCCTTCTACTCTGGCCAAAGGCAAAACAGACTGCACTGTGCTCTAACTTGCTCTGTCCACTGTAAGTTCTTGCTCTGACTCACACGGTGTGTCAGGTGAAGTGTGTACAGAAACACAAAGTGCCAACTCAGTATCCCAGGAAGGGCTGCAGATCTTTGTCGAAGAAAGCAGATGGCGGTGAGGAGCTGAGCTTGTTTCCTCCTGACTGAGCATCACTGAGATTCACTGCTGCACCTCGTCTTTCCCTGAGCATCACCCACATCATAACCGAATGACCGCTCCCCTCCGTGCCCTCTGTGCTTTGGCTGTCGTAAGCCTCAGCCTAGCTGGCTCTCTGATCTTCCCAATGTTGTGGCCACGCCAAGAAGCTGTGGTGGCTCTTATGGAGGTGGTCAGCATGAGGCTGGGGAGTTCTGAGCCGTGGCCCCCACCCACCCTGCGCTGCCCAGATAGCAAACAATAGTTGGGATGGTGAAGGTAACCCCCAAGAAACCAAAGGGCAAGATGTCCACTTATGCTTTCTTTGTACAGACATACAGAAAACATAAGAAGAAAAACCCAGAGGTCCCAGTCAGTTTTGCAGAATTTTCCAAGAAGGGTTCTAAGAGATGGAAGGCACTCTCTGGGAAAGAGAAATCTAAATTTGATAAAATGGTAAAGAGATAAGGTATGCTATGATCTAGAAACAAAGGATTAAGGGAAGCAAGAAGAAAAAGACTCTAATGTCCCCTAAAAGACCACCATCTGGATTCTTCAGGTTTTGTCCAGAATTCCACCCAAGATCAAATCCACAGAGGCTGGTATCTCTATTGGAGACATGGCAAGAAGCTGAGTGAGATGTGGAATAACTTAAGTGACAGTGAAAGGCAGCCATGTGTCACTAAGGTGGAGCTGAAGTAGGAGAAGGACACAACTGACTACAAGTCTAAAGGAAAGTTTGATGGCATAAAGAGTCCTGCTAACATGGTCCTTAAAAAGTGGCAGAGAAGATGGAGAAAATAAGGAGGAAAAGGAGGAGGTGGAGGATGACAAACTGTTTATCTGTCTCCTTGTGAATATATTAGGGTGGGGAGCACCATGACTGGCAGGTCTCTTATTCTGGATGTGTCTATTGCCCTCGTTAGGTTTAATTACAAAATTGATCACAGTCATCCTGTAGTCTCTCAAAATGCTCTAGAAACTGTCAATAGCTTACATGAAGTGGATATGGCGTCGGGGGCACCCTGAAACTGTATCAAAGTTGTACACATTTCCAAACATTTTACGTTTGGAACTCTCTCATATTCTCTCATGTTCTCCTAAAAAACTAACCCAAAAAGGGAAGGTGGGGGCTGTGGTCATTATCTCTGACTCCTTGTCTCTCCACTGTAGCACTTCCGTAAAATCTGAACTTGGAAACTCTGGGCAGTGAACAGATTTCCTCAGACACCTCCTGCTATCCTCGTTAAGTTCAGTTATGCGGCAGGGTCAGAGCAACAGTTCTGTCCAACACTTTGAGCCACTTCTCCTTCACAGTCAATGCCAAGAAATCATAGGCAATTCTTTTTTCCCAGGAACCTTTAAAATTAACCATCCTAAAGATCAGGTTTCCTAGCTCTGATTATGCCTTCCCGCACTTCACATCCTTCAAACCAACTACTGAATTCCACCTGAAATTTATTGGTAAAAGGAAAAACAAATTGTTTAAGTTACTACCAGTTAATGCTGATGTTAAATGACTTCTTTCAGTACCTATTTTTGTCAGTGGCTTTGGGTGCATCTGTGAAGGGCAGCACAATACAAGTACATGACTGCTCACTCCTCTTCCCTGCTCTAAACACCTCTCTTGTAGGTCACAGGAAGCTACCCCATGCAACCAAAAATAAATCACAAAGACCACAACTAGACAGTTCTCTACTGAAGTTCAATGTAAAAACTGCACTTATGCCAATTCATTACACTCGTGTTACCCCAGAATGCTAAAACAGTAAAATTTCAAAGTCTTTTTACCCTTTGGGATCAAGAAGGTCTCGAACTTTTTCATTATAAATTTCCATGTAGGACACTTCTACTTTAAAACTCTGCTCTTCATTTTCCTCCTTTTGGGTTCGTTCAAAGAGTCCACTGCAGAGTCTTGGGATTAATCCAGGTTGGTCAGCTGTGCCCATCATAGTATAAGATTTTCCAGACCCTGCAAAATGGAAATCAGAGTTATTACTGTCTCTTTGTGAAATTTACATACATAATCCTCTCTCCATTGCTCAAATTGCTAGCACTTAGCAAAATGCCCAAATTACAATAAGAAATGTTCCAAATATGAGAAGAAAAAATACAGAAGCTTTTCGTTGCAAATGTGAAAGTCAAAAGTAAACATGCTTTAGAAAGAAAAAAAAACCTACTTTAACCTTATTTAAAAAAAAAAAAATCTAGAACTGAAAAACAGGTTTGAAAAGTTTTCTAAAATAAACTGAAAAGATCTATATTATTAATACTATCATGTCTGTTCCCAACCACTAATCATAGCACAAAATATATAGGTTTTCCCTATGGGCCCCAGAGCAAGTTAACTTACTACCCTCTTGCAATAGTGTGTGAACCATGAATAATCTTTTTGTAATATAAAATTATTTTCTCCATTATAATAAAAGTATATATTAACTAAAGAAAATTCAGGAAAACAGAAAGGAAAAAATTAAATCACTATAATCCTATCATCGAAAAGCGGTGATTTTTGACACTTAAGTATAATGCTTTTCTTTTGAGTAGCAGTGATTTTGAAAACATGCTCTTCACCATACAAATTGCTGCTTTTGTCACCTGATACTTCACCAATATCACAGTACTAATGCACCATTTCCGTTGTTCCAGGCTGAAAAGTGTGCACACAGTGATTTGCCTAGACAACCTTGTGACGAGGACCTAATGGTATCCGAATTTTACAGAGGAGGAAACTGAGGGCAGAGAGCTCCAGGTGGCAAGTTGCAGGGGCAGTGGTGGAGCTGGCACAGCCTGGCTCTGGGGTTTCTGTTCTTTTAACAGCTATACATAACACTTCTTAAACCATCATAAGCATTGTTCTGCGAAGAGCAGTTTGCAGCTGAACAGCTATAGGATACGCTCTTATAAAAGTAGCTAGTTCGCTTTAAGTAGATTTCTTTCCTTAACCAAAAGGCTCTTTATCAGTAGCAACCAGTAAGATATTACCAAGTGTATTCTTTTTGGCATTTCTTGTATTAAGCTCCTTAGAGACTATGACATACAAGCATAACTAGCAATACATTCAACAGTCACAGCTCTGTAATGTGGCAAAAAAATGCAACACAACCAGTGCCATGTGAGATCAGTAAAGTAATCCTAATTTTATTATACTCATTTTAAAAAATGTTTATAGCCTAATTTCATCATCTATATTAGTCCTTGAAAAGGAAAACAACAATAAACCAGCAAAATGTTACTCAGTAATCATGGTTCTATTTTCTCTTTCATGGAAAGATATTTGTTTACGTGCATCCACAGTATTTTGGATTACCTGTTTGTCCATAGGCAAAGATGCACGCATTGTAGCCATCAAAAGCATTCTGAAGGATATTCTCCCCAAGGCACTTAAAAACATCATCTTGACCTGAGAGAAAGGATGTTTTAAGGCAAAACCATGTATGAACAATTCAAACCAATCAACAAACAAAAATCTCAAAATGTACAACCAGCTTATTTATCTCCAAACATGATTTTTAAATGACAAATACTTCTAAAGGCTTATGTATCCTTCAAGTTATTTCTATTTAGCACACGAGGGAAAAAATAAGTAAAGTGTCCCTTATAATGCATACCTGGACACATTCTTGAATAAATAAACACTGACCAAGAAGTGCCCACAATGGAGAGAGCCCATGAGCTGATTATATAGTGGATGACTATAAATATCAGAAACATATACTTGGGATCTGGGTGTACCTGAATTTAACTACACACCACTCAGTCAACACTTTTATCTAACAGCCATAGTATTAATCTTTCTCATAACAGAAGTCAAGAACATATGATGCTCAATATTTAAAAGGCAGGCCCAGTGTGGTGGTGCATGCCTGCAGTTCTAGCTACTTGGGAGGATGAGGTGGGAGAATCATTTAAGCCCAGGAGTTCAAACCCAGCCTGGGCCAGACAATGAAACCTGGCCTCACAAAAAAAGACAGACAGACAAAAAAGAATTGCTCAGAAACAAGTGACATAAGCACAAGGAAATTAAAGGCTGTCACTGCAGTCCCGACTCTGTGGTGAAATGGGGCTTGAGCTGGCTATAGTTGAGGAGAGTGATCAGACAGACTTCCGGAGCACAGAGAACATCTGGAGGGAAGACAGTCCATCCCATTCCATTAGAGAGAGAAAATGGGGGCTCTGCCAGGTGCAGCAGATTCCTGAACGTCAAAGGGGTGCTAAGGAGCAAAAGCCAGGCCGTCTAGGATTCCTTCTCTCCTGGCCACTGCCCTTCTTTCCTTCCACCAGCAGCCTCTCCAGACCACGGTGCCAGCACCTCAGGGAACCTCAGGGCCTCCCATGTGCTCCTGGTCCATGTGAGACCTGGGGACAGGTGTGTGAGGCCAGCTCCACTGGGCACCACAGTCACTTAATTTTACCAACTCATACCAAGATCTCTGTGAAGGTTTCTAAAGTTACATGCAATTAAACCCTAGCAGTGTATGAAGAATACACCAAACCAGCTTTTCTGTACCATCAATAGTGAACAGGATCCCGTGCTCTGTTACCTGCATACTTTTCTCGGACAGATTCATCCATGGACCAGAAACAGTGATCATAAGCAAACATCTGTGAAAAGTAAGCACAACAGCGTGCATAACTCTGATAGAATCACTCATAACACATAGTTAAAACAACGTACTGTCACACAACAAGGACTGGTCATTTATGTGCAAGAATTACAACTACTAAGCACCCTATGAGTGATACAGGTTTCTATTTTACATAGAAAACTATTTGTAATGTTAAGTGGAAAAAGAAAGTTTACAAAACAATATGCATAATGTAATGGCTATTATACACATGGTTATGAATATAAAGTTTATTTTGCATAATGATATCAGTGGTCTTTGTTTTCTTATGCTTTTGTAAATTTTCTATATTTTTACTTTTATGATCAAAGAAAATAAAAATGATTCTAAAAGATTAAAAATGATTCTATAATAAAATTTAAGAGGCTTACAACCACATGAAGAGTAATGATACCAGATTTTTAAAATAAATAACACACCATATTCAATATTGTATAGATTTTAAGAGTCTCGAAGACTTAATGACAAGAAAATGATTGTGTTAATGACCAAGTTATGTACACCTGGACAATGTATGACTCCATATTTGTACTAACATCTACATAAAGGATAAAATGTACATAATCTGACTAAAAAGTGGAAGAACCTACATTAAAAATGCTACTTAGGGGCCAGGGATTTAGCTCAGTGGCACCACACCTGCCTGGCAAGCACAAGGTCCTGAGTTCGATCCCTGGTACCAAAAAAAATGTTACTTCGGGGACAAAAATAGATGATTTCCATTTTGATCTTCTGCCTCATCACTTTCTAAATATGTACATGGTTCTTTTGCAATCTTTTAAAAGTTTTGCTTCACTAATGATATCTTTAATTTTTGGAGATTCCCATCAGTTTTATATGTATTTGTTCAGATTTTATAATTTAATCTTTTTAAGGATTTTTCATATAATTGCTTTAAAATTCACCTCTGTTCACCTTCATCAAATACTCCTGGCTGTGAAGTTTCTGCTGTACTTCCTGACCTGGTCCCCCCACTGAGCCCTGACAGGGGCTCTGAGGGCATCCTGACTGGGAGTGTGTGTTACAGCCTTCATAGTGCTTGCCTTTTCCTTTCTAGTTCACATCATGACTTCCATTATGAATGCCCAGACTTTGGTCTTCCCAAGGGCCAGTGTCTCTATTCCCTCCTACTAACACAATGCTGGTGGTGGCCAATACATTTTCAGCTTTTCTAGGCCTTCACTCAGCCACAGAAGAGCCTTCTCCGAATCAGTTTTCACAGGTGAACTTGGATCCAGCCCTCAGCCAAGAGTTAGAGACCCTTGAATGGCAACAGTCAAACTTCAGTCACCCCAAGCACCCACGTCTGATGCCAAAGTCCAGCAACTGTGCTGCTTCAGCCCACCCCACTGCTGCTAAAAGTGTACATGCTGGTTTTTTTGTATGAAGATGTGATCTGTATATTTTTAAATAATTTATTTGTCCCTACTATGTGTTTGGAGTTGGTAGAGACAATGTTTCTCTGTGAACTCACGAGCTATCTTGACCAGACGTCTAAAAGTTAATTTTTTTTTTAAGAAAAGGAATTGGGTTCAGGCTGTAAGTAGGTATTCCTACTTGATTATTTTTCCCACCACCACCTAAAATTAACTCAAAGAAAGGAAAGAGGGGGAAATAGGAAAGGGCCCAAAGAGTAACAAGGTAGGGAAAGGAGAGCAATTCTTGAAAGCAAGATTGCTTGCTTGAGAAATCCAAAAACAGTACAGTAGCTGCCATGAGACTGGTGGAGGTGAGGGTGGGACCACAGAGAAGCCTAGTTCACAGCTCTGCAGAAGAAGGGTGCTAAGGACAGGAGCAGCTTGGGGAGGATCCGAGGAGGCCAACTGAAGAGGCAGGAGAGGATCCTGCCAGCACCCAAGAGGATGGCAAGTTAAACACTTTTGGACAAGGAAGTCTCAGAGCACCTTGGCACACATGATCAGGCAGGAGAGGCATGGGCTCCCTGGGTGGGGCCAGGGTGGGAGAGGAGGCCAGGGAGGTGAGAGAAGCCAGGGCCACCAAGCCCCAAGACAAGGCAGGAGCCCTGGAGCCCGGAAGATCCCACCCAGCTGCAGTCCGGCACACTGCTAGCCCTTCACTTCCTCACGGTGCAGCAGGCGTCTCTTGGCAGCAGAGGCTCACTGCTGGTTCTCAACCAGAGAGAGGAGCAGGAGGAAGAAACTGGAACAGGGGCCCAGAGAGCTGTGTATTAAAGCATCTAGCGGGGGCTGCTTTCACACTCCCAGTTGTCACCCACGGTGCGAATCACTACAGCAGGATAAGGGTAAATGAAATGTGATGCTCAAACTAACTTTCTTCTGGTCTAGCCTTCAACTCTCTCCTTTACAATTTAATTCTGTTCTAAGCCAGACCAAACTGAAAATTTTCTTTTCTTGCAAGCTTAGCTTTCATTTCAAAAGGTCATATGTGTAAACTTATCAGAGATCAGGACTGCGTGGCACTCTCCTCTAAGTATTATTGGGTTTTTCCTTGTCTTTTGGCTGGGAATTTCTTTAACAACCACATTTCTTACAATTTCAGTAGAAAAGCTATCACTAAGGTAACCACAGCAATGCCTGAGATAGCATGTAGGCCCTGTTCAACAGAAACAGGCACAAAGGGGCTGATGTTGACAGCCAGCAGGTAGGAGAGCTGGATTTGAACCTGCTGTTGAGCCTACCGTCCGGCTGTACCACCAGGCCAGACAAGCTCTGTTCCTCAATCACAGCTGTCCCCTTCCGGTAGAGGACACATTCTAACCCCCCTCCCCCCCAAGAATCTCAAAATCACTTGAAAGCATGCATAGTACTGAAACTTACAGATACTATGTTTTTCCTATCCATAGAAACCTAAAATAAAGTCTAATTTACAAAGTAGCCACAGTAAGAGATTAAAATTCAAAACAAAACAGAACAACTGTGACAATATACTGCAATAATTAAAGTTATGTGGACATGGTTTCTTTCTCTCAAAATATCTACCGAAAAATGACGAAGTTCGCCTCTAATAACTGAAACCACAGGCAGGTGGCAACTGCTGGGTATGAAGGCACCTCAGCTGGGCACAAGGCCGGGAGCTAAGCAACACTTGGTTCTCATTTACTAATGACACTAAACAGTCCTCTTTAAATTTGAGCGATTTTGTAAATTTTTATAGGTATCTCCCGGTAAAAGACTTCATAAAGCAGATAAGTTCCTCTCTTTCTAAACATTTTTCCTGAAAATTGAAAAAAAACAACTTTTGTCAAGTAACAGACTTGCATACACATTCACAGTAAGAAACTCAAGTAGCACAGAAGCTTTAAGTGAAATATCAAGATCGTCGCATCTGCCAAATACATCTCTCCCTAGAGGTAACCACTGTGTTGAGACTGTGGGTTTCTCCTTCCATCATTTTCCCCAAACACTGAGACAGAGTTGAATTAATACAGCGTGGACAGTTTTGACACAGTCACGAAATAGTTCCCTTAACATCTTTATTCTCCGGCCTCTTCTCCAACAAAAAATAAAACAAAATAACACAGCACCTTCTACTTAGGAAAGATGAGGGAAATTGTACAAATATAAAGAAATCTGTGGCATATTCAACTATATTTTAAGTCAGAGTTTCAAACAGTAGGTCTATCCATTTTTTAGTAATAATAACAGAATAGGATTACAATTCAACCACAGTCTCAGACAAAACAAACCTCAAAAATGTAGATAAAACTGAATTTCCTGGAAGTTCCAAGTAACTTCAGAGAATGGTCAACTGAAAAACAGCCCTTGTGCCTGCGTCAGCCCACTCATCTGCCCCCTGCAAGACAGGGAACTACTCCCCACCCCTCAGAAGTTGCCTTAGAGTAGGGGCTCAAATCGGAGCTGGGGCACCGAAGGTTTCTGAGAGCCTGGCATGGCCTTCCCAGCTGGCTCGGGAGCCAGGAGGATGAGTCAGCCTGCCACGGTGTGACCACACTTTGGAACGACCAGTTTTGCGCCAAACTATGGCACACAAGGAATCTGTGTTGCAGTTGCTAGGAGACTGGGCAGAACTGGGCAGAGTGCAAACAGCTTCCCTAAAGCCCTGGCCCCTCCTATGCCAATCAGCAGCTTCAAGTCTGTGGGAAGGCTGGGAGCTTACATGACTTTATAAACAAGCAGAGGGAAACCATTTTCAGCTTTGAGGGAAAACCTTCCAGTATTGCAAGCTTGTACAACAGAAGACCTTTACAAGCACCACCTAAGGAACCAAATCTCTTACCTTCGGCTGGCCCCTGCATTCCCAAAATAGATGTCATCATGAACATGAAAGAAAAGAAAGTTAAAAAAATAGTTTAGGAAACTTTTAGAAAGGTAAAAAGATAATGAACATGATGTAAAATTGCAATAAGAGAAGAAAATATTACCTGTGAAACCAAATAATAACTGAAAGGTAAATTAATATCAATTAACTATTAGGGTAGGGTGCTCATTATAAAAAACGAACTTGCATCTCTCGCATAGAAAAATGATTCTCTGAACACCGGATAATTTCAAAATCCCTATATTTCTGCCTTTTACAATTTTTGGTCCTTATCTACGGCTTATAAATACTTGTTTTAAAAATCTTTACTTCTTACATCTTATTTCACTTTGTTTTCTCTGCTTTATCGGCTCTCTTATCTGTACAGACACTTCTATAAAAAATTAATTCTGTTCTGCCTAAGGAAAAAGGTTCAAGAGACAACTAATTCCTTCCAATGGTTTACTACCTACTGAATTACTCATTATTTATACCTCTGTGCTTATCCAAGCCTTTCACCCTTCCCCCATCTTCCCTCTGCAACTGCCACTTGCTTCCATCTCCCCCAGGGTACAGGAACATAACATAGTGTACATGTCCAGAATAATTATGAGGTAATCTCAAATGTAGAAAAAAGTTGTGTCTGGCTGTTACATATCTGCACGAATAATAATTAACTTTAGGGCCGGGGATTTAGCTCAGTGGTTTCACCGCCTTTTGTGAAAGCGCAAGGACCCAAGTTCGATCCCCGGTACCAAAAAAAAAAAAATAACAACAGGGCCGGGGATTTAGCTCAGTGGTTTCGCCACCTGCTGCGCAAGCGCAAGGACCCGAGTTTGATCCCTGGTACCAAAAATAATAATAATAATAATGATAATAATAATTAACTTTATAAGGACTTATAAATAAATGAATCTGATGCTGGAAATAAAAGGGGGAGGAGGTGGAAGGGAAGGGGGGAAAAAAGAACTGAGATGTGTTATGTACATGTATCAATTCCCCATAATAAATGTAATCATGTACACAAACATGTACTAATAAAAACATAAAATTTTTAAAAGAAAAAAGGTGTGAGAAAAGTACAAAGAATTTCCACAGACCCTTCACCCAAATTCACCAACTGTTAATGTTACCACGTGTACTTTAATTGTCCCCTCCTTCCCCGCCTCGATAGAGATAAAACACATATGACACGTTGTATTTTCTGAACCACTTGGAAGTTACAGAAATATATTCAGTGTTTAATATACATACATTTCAGTGTTTAATTCCTAAAAACAATAATGCTTACTTCCATAATCATAGGATAATGTCAAAATCAGATAAGAATAAAGGAAAGTATTTTTGATATTGCCATAAAATAGGAACAATAATTGATTCTTCTCAGAGAATCAAAACTCCCCAACTACAGCCTGAAACTTTAAAGCAACCTGTACATGCAAATGTTTCCTTCCAATCATCTGTACATCTTCTTGTCCCTTCATCTCATAGAATTTTCTTCCATAAGAAATTTACATTTATTTGTACCAAGTGATTTCAGGTAAGAACATGAAAAAACATGGGAAGTCTAGCAAATGAGTGATACATGCCAGCCAGATTTGGGATTAACATCCTATGTGGCTGATACACAAAAGAAAATAACTTCTCTGCAATAAGAGATGTGGAAAGCTTCCTGATGAAAAGGCTCATGAGATGTGGATAGATATTACCAACATACGCTGCCATCTTTTTATACATCTTTACAAGTGAAGCAGACTCTCCTCCGCTGTGGACAGCTTAGTTAAAAGCCCAGCTGCTGGTAAGAGGAGAAGCAGAAGGTCTGAAATGCCCACAGTGGGCCAAGTGCACTGCACACCACACCTCATTCAAGTCTCATAACAACTCTGCAAGATGCTATTGTGGTTTTAGTTTTACAGATGAGAAACCTACAGCTCAGAAAAACTAAATACCATCCAACTAAATACCATCCAACACGCTAACAACCAGGCATGAATCTGAGATGCAAAACAAGGTCTTTTGACTCCCGGTCTCTGATCCTTCCCCCTCCCACACTGGTCAAGACAGCATGGACTTAAGGACCCATGAGTCACACATTAACAACTGCTCCGGCTAACAAACATTTCTCAATGTATTAATTTCCTCCATTCTAATTATTACTCAATACAAACACACTGTACCCAATACAGGTATGTTGGCCAGTGTACATTTCTATTCACCATGTACTGTGTATGAAAACTCCGGACTGTCTTTTCTAAAAAGAAGACATTTATATATTTCAAGTTTACATATTTTATACAATAATAAGCACTTCCTAGCCGGTAACAGACAAATGTGAAATTTAACAATATATGACACATTACAGAAGAATCTATGGGACTAACCTGAATTCAGATCAGCACAATAGAAACAGAAACAAACCAGGAAACTAATTACAGAGCTTAAGTTTCCAGGTAGGGATTCTGATAGCTACCATAGCAAAGCTCAAATAACCTGTACAGCCATGGGAAACCCAAAGATGTAATTATACCTCTATACACAAATAAGTAAGTTCATTAATTAGTTAAACAAACCCCTTTCAAAGTGTATTTGTGATTCAATACAGCCATGTATCACTGAGCCTACGACTCCTTATTGAGAAACCTCAGCTATCCAGATCACTGTGGAGATTCAGGAAGCAAAGAAACCCACCTTCTGACCAATCAAAAGAGATGTTGCAAAGTAGATATATTAGTCTTAACTCCTCAGCTGTGCTGAATTATTTTTCCTGTTGTTGTTGCTTAACTTCATCTTGAAATGCTTGCAAACTTAAAAAAAAAAAAAGTTCCAAAAACAGTGCAAACAATTCCTGTACACCCTTCACCAAGCTTCCCCAAACATTGGTGCCTTACATAATCAGTTACAACAATGACCAAAATCTGGAAATTAACCATCAACACACAATTTATTAATAATTTACAGTCAACTTCATCTAGACTTTGCCAGCTGCTCCTATCCACATCCTTTTTCTGGTCCAGTACAGTGCACTGCCTATAGCTGTCATGCCTCCCCCAATCCAGGAAAGTTTATCTCATGGACTCCTGAAGAGTTCTGGCCACTTCCTTTGTAGATTATCCCTCAGTCTGGGTTTGCCTAAGGCTTCCCACTGACTAAATTCAGGCTCTACATTTTGGCAAGCATAACACAAGTAATGCCGTGCCCTTTTTGGTGCATCTTGCTAGAAGGCAGACGATGACCATGTCTCATTACTGAGCAAGTGACTTCTGATCACTTGGCTAAGGTTGTGACTATTATATTTCCCACTGTAACATGGCTGTTTTTCCCTCTATAACTCATAAGCATCTTGTAGGGGAGATTTCAAAACTGAATAAATAGCTGGTAGTTCATCCGACTTTCACCTATAAATTTTAGCATTCACTTATGATTCTTGCCTGCAGTAACTAAGGTCTCTCAAATCGTGACTGCCCTATTACTACAGATGGAGATGTCAACAGCTCAAGTGGATCAACATGGATGGAGGTGCTTTTTTAGAAAAGGATACAATAAATGATATGGCTCTGTGGTTAGAATAAGAATTGTTATCTATGAATAAGCCACTCTCTTACACTTCTTTTTACTGATCCACTTTAGGGGTTCTACCCATTTTCCATTTAAATAATACAGTAAATCATACCATAAAAATAAGTAAAATTATGCTAATCTCTATAATGTCAAAATATGAAGAAAGAAATTTAGTGATGACTCTGTAAGAAGTTGATGATCTTTAGACATCTTTTATTCATACTTCTGACTCTTACAAAAATAAAATTGATATGGGGTCCTGTTATGGTTTAGATATGAAGTGTAGCCCCAAAACTCATCTTGAGGGCTTGATCCCCAGTGCAGCAATATTCAGAGGTGGGGACTAGAAAGGCGATTGGGTCATGCGGGCACCAAGGGCATTGCTGGATTAATCCGGTGACAAGTTCCTAGCTGAATGGGTTGTTGAGAGGCGGCGCTGGGTTGGAGGAAGTAGGCCACTGGGGCTCTGCCTTTCAAGGGTGTGTCTTTTCTTGGTCTCTTCCTGCTCACTCTGCTTCCTGGCTGCCATGAGGTGAACATCTCTCCTCAGCCAAACTCATATTCCTTGATGTTTCTGCCTTGGAGCCAAGAGACTATAGACTGAAACCATGAGCCCAAATAAATCCTTCCTCCTCTAAATTACAGGTGTCAGGTGTGGTGTCCCAGCAACAGAAAGGTGACTAACACAGATCCAAGAAGAAAACACCCAGTATCATGTATGTGTAAAACAGAAAGCAGTATCAGTGAAATGATGAATTGTGAATCAGTTACTACTGTCACACACCGAAATCAAACATTAAATACAAACCATCATCTTTTAATTCTAGATTTTTCAGTTGCTGAAATCTTCACAAATAGAAACACTTGTAATCTCTGTTTTAACAAGATTCCATTCCAACCCAGTCTACAATCTCTAACAAGATTCCATGCCAACCCAGTCTAAAAAGGATGTATAGATCTCACAGAGAGCTTATTCTAATACTGCCATGCTACGTAATGATGTTGTTGCTTTTTCAGACTTAGCTGGCAGTACCAGCAACCAAACAACAAACTGTGTGGTCATCATTATCTTTTGTCACCATCCACCAATATGCTTTCCACATAAGGGACAGGGCTGACCTTACCAAAAATCTGTACACCAGCTAGACTCCAAAAGAAGGCTCTCAACTTTCACTTATCTACCTAGCTCTTGGTGAGAAGTTATTGATACATAAAAAGCCCCATCCATTATTTCTGCAACATCTGGAATACTCCAATTTGAAGCATAAAATTTAACAGCATCACTGACAAAGAGTGTGTCTGGACAACAACATTCCAGAGGGAGAGAGATGGGAGAACTCCACTACTGAAAGAATAAACCAAACAGGATTGAACAAAGGGTCTTCAAACTGATCTAATCCCCAGCCTTTTAATTTTTCGCTAAGTTGCTAAATT